TTTGTTCTGTTATATGTTTTTGTGTTCCTGCCTTCAACGTAGTACGTATAGGACGAAAGGCAACGAACAAATAGTGCGATAAAGAACGTTGATTATTCTATATAAGACATATATTTCATGAAGCACGATAAGTCTCACCTACATAACGAACGAAGACAACCAACCACAATTCTGTGTTTTATTTGAAAATATGCTTCTTACTATTGCTCTTATCACAATTGTTGTTTATCTCATTACTGTCTGTTTATGGACAATCAACAATCGTTATAATTATTTCAAACGTCTTAATATTCCAGGACCTCCATATCATTTCTTTTTCGGGCATTATAAGACATTATGGTCAACAAAATCATTTTCAAAACAAATACAAGAATGGACTCGCCAATATGGTTCAGTTTATGGATTATTTATGGGTAGAAGACCAATGTACGTTGTATCAGATGTTGATTTTCTTCAAGAAATTTATATTAAACAATTTTCATCATTTCATTCACGTGAGATTCCAAGAATTTTTCGTATAGAAACTGATGGAAAAATTCATCTTTTTCGAGCAACTGGAGAAAGATGGCGTCGTCAAAGACATGTTATTAATCCAACATTTTCATCAGCAAAACTCAAACTTATGTCTTCTTTAGTAAATGAATGTATCGAAGCAATGTTAAATAAAATATCTCAAATAACAGATGGTGAACAAAAGGAAATTAACATTTATGAATTATACAAACGATTAACAATGGATGTTATATGTAAGTTAATCAATCTTACTCATATATATATATATAAGATGCACTATATCATTCTAGGTCGTTGTGCATTTGGTATTGATACTGATATGCAAAATGATATTAATAATCCATATTTGCAAAAAACAGCTGCAGTATTTAAAACAGATATTGAGCAACTACTACTTTTTCGTATGGCTAACTTAATACCATTTCTTGCCCGTCCTTTACATGATATTGTATTTGGTCTAAACGATGTTCGTAGAATATTAGTGAAATTAATACCAGCATTGAAAAATTATGTTGAACAAATTCCAGCTTTATGGTTGATGAACCGTGTTCAAGATGTTGTTGATCTTCGTATTCAATCATCATCAAATTCAGTAAAACGTATGGATTTATTACAACTTATGATGGAAGCTACTCGCGACAACGTTATAGTAAGTTGTGTAGATGAAAAGACACATGAACTTGAACTTTAATTAAACTGATAGATTTTTTTTCTTTAATATTGTGCCTCACAAAGAAGAAAATGATTGATTAGAAATATTATCATTGAATATGCTACTTTTCTCAGTTAAATATTCAGAACTACAGAGATATTAGAATTCTTCACTCTCTGTTGTCATTTTATGCATATACAGATAAAGACTTACAATATATTTTTAAAACTATGAGAATAATTGTAGAAGCGAAAAACGAATACAATCTATTAAAGAATTATTTTTATACTAAAATTTGACTCATTATTCTAGGATCATGCCGACGATCAATCAATCTCAAAAACATTGCAGTCAAATGAGCTTATACCGAATATTTTTCTTTTTATGGCTGCTGGTTATGAAACAACGTCAACTGCACTTGCTTATTCGACATATATTTTAGCAACAAAACAAGATATTCAAGAAAAACTTGTTGAAGAAATAGAAAATAGCAACTGGAATGATAATAATAATGGAGAAGAAGCGTATGACACAGCAACTAATCTTTCTTATTTAGATTTATTTGTACGTGAAGTTTTTCGTATGTATCCTATAACATCTAAAGCCATGGCACGTGAATGTAATACAACGACTACTGTTTGTGGTCATATCATTGAAAAAGGTTTGTTTAGTATAACACTCATGGACTTCTACAGTTACATTTCGATTGACCTTTTGTTATAGGTAGTGTTATTCAACCTGATGTATTCACCATTCATTATAATCCAGATTTATGGGGTCCTGAAGATCCAAATATCTTTTATCCTGAGCGACATACAGTAAAACGTCATCCAGTTGCTTGGATGCCATTTGGTATTGGTCCAAGAAATTGTGTTGGTATGCGATTTGCTCTTATGGAACTAAAACTGTGTTTAATTCAATTACTTTGTCAATATCGTATATTACCTAGTGATAAAACTGAAGAAGGTTTTAAACAAGAAGAAACAGTTGTTATTCAGCCAAATGCCATATTTGTCAAACTTGAAAAACGTTCAATTTGAACTATCTAATTATGATTGAAAAGAACTATGTATTTTAAATATATATATTATCAAAAATTTTTTTTTTCTTCACTTAATAATTCTATGTTTGTATAACTCACTATAAGAAAATAGTCAATGTAAGTCTAACTGCGAATTCAGGAGTCTCCTCTTCAGAAATAGTGCATTCTCATTCAATGCGATAATTATTCGATTTTCGTGGTCCTAAGTGTTCCGTCTTTTCCATTCTTCTTCTTTGTTCATACGACATTCTTATGTGAGTTCTATATTTTAGTCCTATCCAAGCTGCATTGACAGGCCTTTTTCTTTTGAATAAAATTACGACTCTAGATGATTCATCTCTAGTACACGTTAAACAGATTATCCCAGTTGTATCTGTATATGAACTTGTAAACTTGAATTTATACTATTTTGATCTATCGAAGTAAATGTCATTACTGCCAAATACAGAACAAGCGTCATTATTACCAATAATTGTATCCCTTTTGTGTGGCAGTCTAGAGTGTACAGCGAGTTGTTGGAATGCCATGAGGATTGGAGAGCTTAAGTATGAATGCTTGACGATCGTATGTATATTGATTGTTCAAACTGCAAACGAGACTGGTATATTTTTCGAATAAATAACCTTCTGATGTCTTGTAGAAGAGTCTCCACTCTACATTCGTCTCCTTGCAGAATAAATTGTTTTTGCCGTACTGTTGTAGACAATTCAGTACGACTCTGTCCCATCTTCAGATAAGATCCTGTCTAGATCTTGGAACAGTTTTAGTTCCATGAAGGATGGATCGTCAATTCTTTTTCAGTGCAAATATTTGTTGTACGTGTATGGCCAAAGTTCATATTCATCTTTGCATTGGATCCCAGGTACGCAAAAAAAGTCGACTCTTACTTAAACTGCACAATCGAATTTGAGGCTTGGTGGCATATACAGTTCGATAGAGTAGAAGCTCATCTATCAATTTGTACATTTGGTTTTTTATGGGAGCTCAATAGTGGCACAAAGGGTGTGAGTGTGGGGTGTGAGCCTTCAGGTCAACCACATCCACAACTATACTTATGCCTACACCCAGTGGTCACATCAGAATTCATCATAAATCAATTCAGAAGTTTCTGAATTCTGAAATTTTCAGAAGACTGACAATCAATAAATGTCACATCAGATTTCATATATTTATTTTAACAACAGAAAATAATGAAACAAAAAAATCCTACAGAACCATTTTTTATTAGCTCTAGAGACAATATTTTGTTTTTAGTGACTTATTGCTAAATCTACCTAGAGTCCAATATTTCTATTAATATAAAAAAGTACTTTGAAATCATCCTACTCAATTATTAATATATCTTAGAATGTTATAATATATTCAAATTCAAACATCTTTATCCAAATATGAACGTGAACGGCATCATTATATAATTTTCTGCCATAAATATGATCGACAAAAATTGTTTCAATTTATTATAAACACTAAACGTTTGCTTATGAATAACATTAAGACAATCTCTATCCTCTTCTTTACAATGTTCATATTTTATTAATTTAAATGTCTCTGATGCAATGAGATTTTGTTTTCAATTATAGAAGGAAATAGAAAACAAAATCAAAATTAGACTCATTAGTTTTCTATTGGACACGCACAGAAACATGTTCGACAAGCTATTCAAACTTTTTCTTATCCTTCGACTGAGCGTGTCATACAAACGGCAATTTAAAATTAACACGAAAAAAAACCTGAGACAGAATTTCTTCTTATGATAGTGCAACTCAACTAAGATATGTATATGATATGAACACATTCGTGTATTACTTTATTAGAATAAGAAGACTCATTGTTCGGACTCTATTAAATTTGAATATTATTCAAACATAAGAATTATTTGTATTCATGACGAATCTATTAGATTTTCGATCTAATCATTTTGAAATGGCTCATTGTTGACCATTGATCATTGAATATTTTTCGAGTACTCAATACTTAGTAAGAAATATTCACAGAGACATATTTAAAAACAAATTTATACAAGTTCATGAATAAAATAAAACAATCAATAAATGCTAAGTAAATTATTTACCTCGTAATCTAGGATACAATATGTTATATTGTGCTATGTACAATAAACAAAAGATCAGGAAGATTGTTCAAGTTACACATAATAATTTTATGAGAGCGCAAACATGTGCTCGAGGTATGGTATCATGTCAAAAACGACACAATGATGATAAACAAGATACTAAATAATATAAAATGTAGAAAACTTATCTATAATTTATTTTTCCTTATCATTTTTCATATCTCTTTTTTGATTAATCAAAATATTGATCTATTGCATACACACACATAATTGTATATTAATGATGTTTACTATTATTTTTATTTAGTGTCGTACACTTTTGGATTATTGTTTCAATCAAGACATATTTACTATGATACTTTATTTTTTTGAAAAAAATAAAATCAATCTTCATGAATAAGGCAAAGATTTGAATGATATAGAAAAAGTTTCAACTCAATTTTACTTGCCGGCTCATTGTGAAGATGACAAGAAAGTCAATTTTTTTATTCGTATCAAAAAAGAATAGAAAATCAAGCTAAACAAAATATTCAAGATATATATATACATATATATCTTATTGTATATTCAGTGTAGGAAATATCCGGAGTAGTAATGAAATAATAAAATTCTTCATTTTCTATGAAAACTCTCATAAATTGCAAAACTCCATTTCGTTCTTGAACTTTCGAAAATACTTCAATCATTTTCGAGACAGAATATTCAATAAAACATATAAATAAATTGAAATTGTAAAATACTTTTGGAACATGTGTATCATCGAGCAACATAATATGTATTCACTGTAGAAAATTTCTAACAAATGTAAATTCAAGACGAAAGAACACAATATATACACTGGCTCTGTTTCTTTTATTAATCTGAGGCTCAAGTTAATTTCATCAATCGATCAGTAGCTTTAATTAGACTCAATCGAATTTTGTTTTATTAACTGCTATGTCTAGCTGTATTGTAGCTAATATTAGCAAAAACAGTAACAAATAATGTTGGTAATCAGAGAGTGTTGTATATATTAAGAACTTCTCTCGTATTTCTCATTTATGTATTCGTTGCAATTCTCTCAGTTTTTCATTTAGGATAGAGTATACCATATGATAAAGGAAACGAACATGTATAATTAATTAGATGATTATATCTAGAAATAAGTATCGGAAGTAAATGAATGCAAAGTTTTTTTGTAATAGTACAGTATACTAAAAGGTTGGGATCTTGTTTTTTTCTTGCTTTAGATTTTTTCCTATATCAAAATATATAAATTATGTTTTATTTACTGTTGAATCTAAAGTTAAATCTCTCATGAAGATAATTCTACAAATTTTAACTTTTTTTTCTATTTAATAAATGTTATGGAAGACAATCTTTGTCTAAATATTGAATTTGAAAGATAATTAGTAGTGTAACTCTAACAATTATGCTTTTCACAACAATAAAAATCCAATTTGAGTATATTATCTATTCGAAATCAATCATCAATCGTTTCGCTTTTGTTTATATCATTACATTCAAGAAGCATAATATTCCTGCCCTTATAATCTTTTTTTCAATAGAATGAATTGAAAAAAATGATTTCAAAAACTGTAAGTGTTCTTTCTTTATTCTTCGAATAAAAATTTAGGTTCTAATATTTTTTTTGTAACATCACGTTTCATTCATTTATTCATCTGATGTAATAAGCATTTTGCGACATTTTTTCTTTTACAAATATCAAAGATGAGAAATAATTGTTTAGTGGCTTAATATCGAAAGTGAAAATGTCGAAAATCTAAATCCTTTTTAGTCACAGACTTCATTCTCACCTTCACTGTTGTATTGTCTGCATGCATGCCATATTACATTCTATTGATCGTAACTTAGAACAAGTTTTTTTTTTTACCAAGGATTTATAATTGTCGACATTTTGTGTTTTGATATTTAATTACTTTCCTTAAATAATATATGAGCTTAAGCTTCCTGTCAAAAGATATAGTATTTAATTCTCTACAAAATTCTATTGACAACTATTGTATAGGCTACATTTTGTGGCTCAATAAATAGTATTTAGTTTCCACCCATTATTTTTCTAACGCTCTTGCCAAGTTATGAACAGTTGTATGAGAAACTTTGTACTTCCAATTCGAGTTTCTACTAAATGCAATTTCAGTCGGATTTGTAAGTGTTTGATCACAATCGATACTCGTCAAAGAAGAATAGCTTATGGGAGTGCTGACAATGAAAACAGTATTTGTGCTTCAAAAAAAACAAGACAAAATCATCACAAAAGTGGGCTCCATATGATCATAAATAACACTTTTGAAATAGCCTGTGGAAATGAATAATCAATTAAAGGAAATTTCACTGTTCTGAAAGTTTAACATACTATCAAGTCAAAAGAATTTATATTAAAATACTTTTTCAAGTATACACAATCGACAGAACTTTTTAATGATCAGGCAATTATTTGTTAAAAAATAAATATTCATTTCTATGGAAGAAATAGTGCATCATTAACAAATGAGTGGAAAGTACGTGCTATTTATTAAGTTACAGAAGATAACCTTGAAAAAGTTTTTTTTCTTTGTTGTTTTTTTAATTAATGTCTATAGAACTAAATATTGCATCTTCTGACAGGTAGCTTAGGGCTATGTTTTCTTTTTCAGTTCTGGTATTTGTAAAAGAAAAAAATTATTGCAAAATATCTGTTACACCTGGTTAATATCATATCATCTAAAAATAAGAAAAATTATTACTTCAAAGTCTGTTTTAGTTTAAGTTAATAAAATAAAAGTATTGAAATACTCATCAAATTATTTAAACTTATGAAATCAAACATGATGAATTCATTTGTATACTTTTGATGAAATATAATTTGGAGGATATGTTAAAGTGTCATAAGAATTTCATTCAAACATAATACTTAGATTATGAACCTAAATATTTCTTATTTATTTTAATTATCTATATGAATAGTTCTCTTCATTCTATTATAAATCCGTGTAGTAAAGTTTCTGTTATTTATAACAACCAACAAAAAAAAAACGTTTAAAGATTTTGTTTTATAGAATATGCACAAAAATAAATATTTAAATTATACACATATATAGTCATTCAATATATGTAAGTTTATTCATCTAAGATACATTTATTCTCACACACTACATATACAATAAATAGCTAAGTCATAGACTAAAATTAAGAAATATTACATTACTTTTCTTTCAATGGAAAATATTTAGGATAGATAAACTATACGCGCACACACTTTGTACAATTAGATTAGACAAAGGAGAAGACGAAAAAAAAAACAAGAAGAGTTCGCTAGTGAAATGAACGATAAACAATACGTCCATTGAGTGGCATTACAGGTCGAAAATTTTGATTTATACTTCCATTTGTTACATTATCACCTTTACATATACATTTTAATTGACGTAATTGATCCAACTAGAAATAAATTAAAATAATTAAAATTAAAATTACTAATTATTAATATTTACTTGACGTCGTGAAAGGCCCATTTTCTCACGAAAAACTATCCAACGAACACTTTCATAACACATCGGTGTAGTTAATGAACCATCATATGTATAATAAGTTTGTATATCTTCTAAAAATTTTAAATTTTACAAAAAAAAAAAAAGAAATTTTTTTATTTTATAATTTTACTTGGCACAAGATTTTTTAATAAAATAGTTCCATAATTAAGATTAATTTTTTCGCCTTTATAAGTAATTTTTGAAAAAAGTTCAAGTAATTTATTAAATTCTTGATTATCCGATGGTACAATCTATAAATTTTCATTTCTTTTAATACAAATTATCTTTCAATTTTTCTTACTGTAATCAATATACCAAAAACCATTATACCATCAAATTGTTCTGATGTAACAGCAGCTTGAGGTGTCTTATATTTGCTTGTATTCCATGTTACAATATGTAGCTACAAAATCATAATATTTTAAATTTTAATAAATCAAAAATTAAAGATTTCTTATCTTACTTCTCCAGGTAAACGAACACCATCAATAACATGTTCAGCACCTTCAAGATCATTTGTTCCCCAATGCATATGAAATTGTAAAAATTGATATTCATCATGAACAGGACCACCGGTAATATCTATTCGATGTAAACAAAAATTGATGTTTTATTATTCGAATGACAAAATTTTGAAAAAAAAAGAACACTTACGACTGTGACCTTTACCGGTTACTTGGAATGAATGACCTGTATTTTCAAGCGTTTGACAACAATTTTCATCAACATCAAATATAAATGGATGTTGAGCAAGCTCTGGATCATATTCACATTGTTCAGTATAAATTCGAATAGGTGACTGAAATTTTTTACATTGTATTTGAGGAAATATTTTACCCCACATATGTGGTCCTGATTCAAAAAGAAAAAAAAGAAAAACATTTACTTTATTGATGCATCAATCTGGCTTTAAAAAAAAAAGATTATAATATATTTACATCAAAACACTTTTATTTTTGCATTTCATTTAATTTCAAACGATGATAATTATTGTCATCTCTCGAACATTAACATGAAAGATGTCAACTCCTGTTTTTTATTCTTGTTTAATTAAACACTTAATATGATAGACAACGGCAAGAAAGAGGATGTTTCAATAAAAATAAAAAAAAACTTTTTTTTTTTCATTAGTTATATTGTAAACTCAATGTTATCAGTTTGTATATAGACGGATGATTGAACTAAAAGAATTTATCTAGCTACAGACGAAAAAAAAGTTCGATCTCTTCTTATCTCAGAAAAAAATCGAAATGTTATATAGAATTGCACTTTTAAAAATTAAAATTATCTTTGTTGGTTTTTCCTGTTTAAAATAGTATGTATTATTATAAATTTTACTTGGAAAATTTTTTTATTAAGAAAAAAAAAAACAAATTAATCAGATCTTGATTTTTAGAAAATAAAAGCTATGTATATTATATTCGAATTTTATTAAAGATAAATTTTATTTTGTTTTTCTTTAAATAACATAATATACAAATGATAAAAATTATAAAGAAATTTTTCTATTATCTTACCATAAGATACAGAATAATCCCAATATGATGGATTTGTATTTAGTTTTTCTTCTAATTTATTTTTCTTTTCTTGATCACCATTGTGAAAAGTAATCGATGGAGATTGTGAAGATGTTGATAAAATATGTTCTTTTTTATATTCATCTGTTGCTTTAGTTGATCGACGTATTTGTATTTCAATATCGCCCATTTCAATTAATATTGATGTAAGAAGAAGTGATTGTGATTGATTCTATATTTATATTATATGATAATAGCAATGCATTTATATATATATATCTCAATTAACTTACCGTTGGACCTTGTTTTAAATGAATAGCAATTTGATCATTACCAGTTCCAACGACAATAGATTGTGTATCATCGTCAGGCACGTTTGCCATTCTTCTTTGCAAGCAAGCAAATAAACAAACGGGTTAGATCTTCTTAATCTATTTTGTTTTTGTGACTAGAGCTATGAGTATGTATGTATATATAGACAGGCAAACAGAGAGAAGATCTAGCTCTCATTGGTATTTTCGCTTATTGTCAGCGAGATTTTTTCTTTATGATTATTAACATACGTACCACCTTTACATTATCCAGAATGATGAAAGCGAGAGAGAGAGAAAAAAGAATGAGGAAAATAGGGAGGGATTCAGAGATAGAGAAAGAGATAGAAAACAACACAACATGCAGACTTCCCATATTTTCACGCATACCATTGATCACCTAATTATTTTGTTCCAACGATAAGAAGAAAAAAAGAAAGTCGATAATTGTCAAGCATTTTTTTTCACACCTTTAGCATTAATAGAAACGGAAACTAAATGCCATGAATAGAGTCGGTCGTCAAAACATGTTTATTAAGAAAGGTATAACATAAAAAACAGAAAAATTGATAATGTTATGCCTTTTTATTTTATATGTCTATGATATTTTGTGTAAAACATTTCAGAAAAAGATCAAAATTAATTTTCAATCTATTCATATATTATAGATATGTAGGTTTTTTTTTCTAAATTTGTTTTTCATATAAACAAGAAACCAGATTTTCTATTTATATAAATAATTCAATAAAAGAATATTTGATTAAATCATTATCTGTAACAATAGATCAAACAGAATATTTTATATCGATTTAAATTATTAATAAATAAATTGTGAGCATTTTACATTAATCGTAATCATAAAATTACAAAAAAACGTAGGATGATTATTGTTATGTGATAAGCTTAGTTTTCCTTTTTTTTTTTTTTTCTAAAGAAGAAAGAAATAAAGACGACATCAAGGACGATTCTGTTTGGACCATGTCATATTTTTTACTTCATCAAACAAAAAGATTACAAATTTATGTTTTATTATGTTTCAAACAAGATACTTTAAAAAAATTTCTAATGAATTTAGATTTTCAAAAATAAAAAAACAAAGTCCAATTATTTGTTTTTCATTTAATCATGTTGTTGTTCAATCAATTCTATTGACTTATTTCTATGATAAAATGTAACTGAAAAATAAACAATATATTGAAAACATCATATGATTTTTTTTCTCTCTCTCTCACTTAATAAATATGTACTTAGTTCATTTCATTGCTCGAAATGGGATTAGTTGTGAAAAAGCCATGTCTGCAATTGTTGTCATCGAAAAATCAATCAGCAACCACAAACATAAAACGAACATCATCTGTAAACTGGTAAAAAATGTAAACGACATGAAAATTAATAATTTTATTTTAGATTATTATAATGACTAGCAAACAGACTGAAGAACAGCTTATGTCAAGTCGATCAGACATTATATCTTCTAATTATGGCGAAAGTTAGTTATTTTCTGTTGAAGACTATAGAGTACTATATTGTTGATTCTAATTCAGTTGATAAAAAAAGAAATTATCATTCTCCACTTAAAAGTCCGGAACTTATACGATCTCCTTCTCGACGTTTAGCACGTTCAGCAAGTAATATTCCTGAATGTTTTTATTTTGGATATATTAAATTTTATCTAATCTTTGTTTTTTCTTTTGAAAGTAACAATTTGCTGTACAAATTGTAAAATTCCATTATTAACCGATGTTAATCAACATGAAACATTAAATAAATCGCGTGCTTCGGTATAGTTGTAATTTAAACTAAATTATTATCTATCTATAAATCGATTAAAATCTAGAGTACATTTCAATCTGAACGTTTATGTCAAGAATGTAATGAAGAAAAAGCACAAAATGGACGTAAACCTCCCAGTCGTTTATTAAAATCAGCTTCTGTTAATTGGTCTAATATGGTTGGAAAAATTGGTAAAATGCTTTTAAAAAAAGAATTTTTTTCCTTCCTATTCATTTTCTTAATTTATATATTCCAGGAACATGGTTTGAAAAGGCACGAACACCAGGTATTGCATTTATAATGAATTAGAAAGTATAGTCTAAAAAGGGAACATTATTATTTTAATATAAGATATAAAATTTTAATGTTTCTACAATAGACGTTTTTTTTCTTCGGAGACAAAAAAAAACTGCCACTGATCTCTCATTATAGAATGCTATTCTTTTAATATCGACAATTTGAGATGGCAATTCTATATGAAAACTTATGCGCATTCATTCTAGTTTACAATAAATATTTAATTCATTCGATGTGTATGTCTATGATTTGAATTATTTTTAAAAATGAAAAATTTCATTTTTTACTCTTCAGCGGCGAATCTAGAAATTTTTCAATATGGAGCGATTATTCACATAAAATGTATTTCGAAGCTCTATAAAAGTAATTTCAGCTCCATTTTAAGCGTTTTCTTCTAGAAAAAAAACGGTTTTTTGTTCTGTCGATATGGGGCGATCACCCCAAGCGCCCTCCCTAAATCCGCTATTGTTACTCTTGTGTGAATTTAGAATATTTATATTTTGTTACTTGAGAAGAAAAAAAAAATGAAATACCGAAATATTAACAAATGCTAATTTCGGATTAGGAAATCTATTTATTTGGAAAAAAATAGCATGAGCATTTCAAGGAAGCTTTTTCCTTGGAACTAGATAATCTCCGATTAGAATATTATTATTAAGATAAGTTCAACAAAATATGAGTTCAATAATACCTGTGGTATGAAAATCTTCAGTTTATTATTATTGTCTTCACATAAAAAAAAGTTCTTCTATCCTAACTACATTTACATACATGTTTATATATATAAAGGCTATAAAGAAAATGACAAGGCAGTGTGAAGTGCATCACCCATGAAAATAGAAAAGAGCAACACATGTGGATGCTGTTCTAATATGAACAGAGCAATTATAGGATTTATGAAGAGAAAAAGTTGAGAATGCAGATGTTATAGCTCTCATTGTAATTCATAGGATTCATTTATATGTCGAACAATTGGAAAAAATATTGTCTGTTCTAATAATAATATGCTTAGTTTAATTCGTATTAGCAAGTTATTTCTTAATTATATAAATTAATGAGACGTATTGTCTACAAAAGTTCTTATCTTAAGAATAAATAATTAAGCACGTAGGCAAAAATTGAATTTCTTCGTATATTTTTGATCTAGACTAATAAATGAAATTAGGATTATAGATAAACAATTTTGCATCTTGATAAGTTCAACAATAATACAACGCTTGGACTATAAATATATTATCATCGTTTGGGCCTTTTTATTGATATTTCATCATGCCTTAATTCGAAAAAAAAAGACATACTAACCATATAGTGACACATTCATTTAAAAACATTTGCTAAAAAGTTGTTATTCAAGTTGGGTGTTGTTGTAAATAATAAACATAAGGAGAAAAGTCAGTAGGTTGGCCGATCTATTAAACACAACTATTATTTTGTTGTTAAGGTTATTATCAGTAAAATAGTCGTTTCAACAAAACGTACTAAAAGAATTGTTTATTTGGTGAATATAGATATAACAACATGTTATTCTATTTTTTATATCTCATATGTTGATTCATACCTGATTATAAATTTAAGAAATGTAATAAGAAAACAAATAAGATTGTAAATAGTTCTATTTTCTATAATCTTCGTCGTTCTTATTGCTTTTTTTTTTGTTGTTTCCGATTTCTTTTATATTTGTAGTAAGTTCAGATTGTGTTCGTACTGAATAGCTTGTTAATATGATTTGAGTAGCTGTTTTCTAGAAAAAAAAAGAACAAAACAATAATGATGTTATAACAGAATAAGAAAATGAGACATCCAGGAAAGTCTTCATTTTTTTTCTACTATGATATAGTTTAGAAAACTAATGGTGAGTATTTAAAAATCTGATTTCCCTCATTCCACACAATTGTCAACAACATCATTAAGGAAAACGCTATATATGGAATAGTATAGCTTGGAGCCATAAGCGCAGAATTGAAGAAAGAACAAGCAAGAGTGTAGATCGATAATGGAATGGAGCTAGCGAACCCTAATGGCGATCGTTCAGACTGCGAAGTCGACGCTGTGCTTCTTATATCTATATCTTACTCGTGTTTTTTTTCTTTTTCTTTTTTTCTATCGTTTCTATTTGGCTACATCAACTCTTTTTCTTCGTCGTTTGAAGTGGATAAACATAGTTGTATGTCTTTGACGATCTTTTCCTATTGAACATCATCCACTTTTTGCTTTTGTTCTTACTCATAGCTTGAACTAATCAATGATTTACATATGTTAAGAAGAATAATGAGTTTTGAAATATCCATTAATAGTATTCATTCTATATGGAAAATAATAATCTGCTTCTATTCATAACCATTTTTCTTCCAATGTTTTTCCTATTGAAAATTCCATAGAGAATCCAAGAGTCTTTTTCTATACGCAATATATTTTAAGAATAACCATGTCAGTTGATTAATCAAAAATGACTATTATTATTAATACGTGTATATATAGTTTTGATAGAACGTAATATTGCACATGTATAGTGATTATATTATACGATATGTCCTCATGACAATTTGGTTGCAAGTATTTCTCTTATCTAAATATACAGATATATACACACGCACAAAACTCGTTTATCTGCTTAGATCAAAAAGTTGTCTACAATTTTTTGGAGCAAATTAATAATGAACAAACCGAAAAAACAACAGAAGCAACAAATGCAAAAAATCTTGATGATGTACTTAATAGTTTAAAAAAGTAATTTGAAACAAAAAGAAAGAGAAAATTTTATTCATATATATATATATATAGTGACTACCAAAATTATTCGATTTGATTTATTGTCAATCTTTTCTCATTGCTGTCAATATTCATAAAAATCCAAATATGTGATTGATGTAGAGAATTCTATTTTTAATAACAATTTTCGAAGATGAAAATGGTTGCTGTTTTTTTTCAAGAATAGAATCTCTGAAAAAACTCAAATTTTTCATCTACAAATACTTCTAGAATTACTCAGAATGATAGAATAAATAATTTTCTACAAAATGAAATGTTTTCCAGATCTTTCGTGACACTTTTTGATCGCGATACATCAATCTTATGAAAGAAAGGCACTAAAATCATTTTTATTCCTTCCGTAAGATTGATATATCTCCGTCAGAAACCATCGTAGAGAGCTGAAAGACATTTCATTTTGTAGAGAATTATTTATTTTATCATGTTGGATAATTCAAATAGAATTCTATTTGCAAATTTGAATAGATGAAAAACTGGGATTTTCACAGATTCTATCCTTGAAAAATCAGCAATTATTTTTATCTTTGAAAATTCTTGTCAGAAATAAAATTCTCTATACAAAACACGATTTGGATTCTTACTAGCGTTGATAGCAATGGAAAAAAGATTGAAATTAAATTTAGTCGAATAGTTTTGTGAACCATTATATGTACTGGGTGGTCCAAAAGTCATTTTGACGAGAAACAAGTGATTATCTCTGGTGAACAAGCTAATTTTTTTTACTAATAATAAAGATATATGCACTCTTCAGATCCACAAAGATAAGACTAGAGAGTAAGCCTTTCTTAAGTATGGCTATCGGCTTCAACAAAAACAAAATTTTCTTTTTTACTGATAGAAAAATAATAACGTATATGATAAAGAAGAGCCAATTTACTAAGATAGAATGTAAATAATCAAATAAACTTTTGAGTGTCGCATGTCGTTCGTGCACATATCTTTTTTCTTATTATTTTTCTTCTTCGGCTCTTACTATAGTCCAGGAGGGATAGTCTGTACCATACAAATCTCTTTTCTTTCTTTCTACGCTGTCGGTCACATTCGTACAACATCTGTCTACGTTTATTTTGTGTGTTGGTACTAAGTGTTGCTCTGCGTTTTTTTATCATTTATATAAAGTGTATAATTCCGATTGGGGGCTCATGTGTTTGCAAATGCCGAGATAACATAGAAAAAAGAAGAACAGAGGGGAGGGCAAAACAAACTTACTCAACAGATGTTATATAAATATAATCAACAGCGTAGGAAGAAAAGAGATTTGTATGATGTGAATTATCTATGTAGAGTCAAAGTGACAATTAGTTGAACGACAAATGAGCACTACGACATTCAGTGGCATGTTTGATAGAAGAATGATTATTAATTCATTTTTCACAAATCTCAATTTCTAGATATATCATTCAGTCACATACAGCATCATGCGAGAATAAGGATGGTATGTGAAAAATGAATATTTACCCTATGGAATGGATTCATAGATGATCCCACTGATAAATAAAGAAAAAAAAGTGTATTCATTATCGAATACCGAAAACTTCAGCAGAAGAAAATTCCAAAACAAAGAAAATTTATATGGATGATGAGAAATTTTTAAAACAATTAATATTTGTTCTGATGTAAAGCTTCGTGCTAAATTAGAAGAATTTATTTAACATTTCTATTTATACTCATGTCTAATGTTGATTGATCTTGAATAGATTGTTAGTTATTTTCTGAGTATTCGTGAGATATTTCTCTATAATACTAAGAAATTATTTTTGCCAATTTTATTTTTCAGCATTACGACCAATTCTACACTGTGACTAATTGTCGTAGACAATAGTAAAGCCAAGAGAGAAAAATAATATGAGAAGAGTTATGTGAATGAACGAAGCACGACGGTCAAAAGTTTATTTGAATGTTTACATTTTATTTTCATAAATTGGCTCTTCTTCATCATACATTGTTTGTTTCCTATCAGAGATCCCAACAGGTTACTCAAAATAGACAGACCGCTTGCTTATCATATTTTTCACGATTTTCAATAATAATAAAAAAAACTTCATTTTTTGCACAAGAAATTTACTTTTAAAAAATTCCCATTTAGTACCTTTAATGGTAGAACATGAAAAGTGAATATTTTCCGTTTTGACTGGAAATAATATATTATGGACCATATTATTCATGGCTCATTTATTTATGGGATTGATATATTCATTCAGGCTAAATTACTGCTCATGCAACAAAAATAAAATTAAGCGAAAATTTAGATTAAAATTGATTATTAATGGATCGGAAATTCATCTTAACCAAAAATAATCCAAAAATAAAAACAAAACAAAAATTCTATTGATTCTTCCGATTGATTGCAATTATAATTGATTAAAAAGAGGATTATAATCGAAATTACTAATAAGAATGAATCGAGCTCGGATTTTTTTTTATTATAATCGATTTCTAGTCGATTACACGTTTCGTAATTTTCATCGGTTTTTAATCATTTTTATTGATCAATTTTAACCTAATTTTTCAATGTGAACACTTGCTATTATTTTGTATAAATGGTCCACTAATTCTTATCATCATACCCTCTTTCATATTGATGTTATCATAAAAATAGTTTCTCATTCACTAGTTTGTCAAATTTATTGAAAATGTTCTAAATCGAAAATACACATGTCTATCAATGTTAGCGTTTCCTGCTAATGCTTTCTCTTCAGGTACCTAATGTACTAAATGAATAAATGTTTTGTCTCATAGTTTCATTTCTATAGATAAAGTTTTCTTGCTCTCTTATCAAAACATTTTGCTATTCTCATTCAAATATCATTAAAATATTAGCATATAAAAAAAAATACACAGATCAAGTCGAGGGAAGCGCATGAGAGAAGCACAGACCGGCTAAAAAGTTGTACAGCCTGTCATAGGTCGGGCAGGTCGACGAAAAAGTAGAATATTTTTTTTGTTAAAGTCAATAGTAATACTTGAAAAAGGGTTTCTCTAGTCTTATCTTCATGGATATGGAATATGTACATGTCTTTATTATTAGTAAAAAGAAACAGCTCATTTCTTCGAGCTATAACAGAGATATTCAATTGTTTTTCGGTAAAGTAACTTTTGGACCATCCGGTATTTATATTTCTTTTAAAACTATGATTTAAATAGATATCAAACACGTTTTAATTCACCTCGTCCTCGAAATAAATTTACACGTGAATTTGAATCATCAAGTTGGCGTGTTATGCGTCATCCAACAATATCTTATCAATTTAGTCGTTATAATGCTGCTTATGGTGATGAAGCTTCACGTGATTTATATCTTGGTTCAATATATGCACAAACAAATCCAAGAATTCGTTCTACTTTTTTAATACATCCAAATTGGGTTTAAAACAAAATCTTTTGAACAATATTATTTATATACGAAAAAAACAAATAAAACATTTTTAATATGAGATTTAGAAAAAAAAAAGAAATTTGTTAGATTCAATATAAATTATCATTAATAGGAAATAAATTATATAGTATTCATTTGCTTTTTCTTGACATATATAAAGAATTAGAGAAATATAAAAATACGAAGAAAAAAACAACTATATTTACTAATATTTGTAAAATTATGGAATGAATCAGTGAAACTAGTTAATAACACATTTGAAGTAGTATTACATATTATCACTTGTGAATAATTTGACATGTTTATTGTCAAAAAACTTGACATGTTATCGAATGTTTCTTTGACAGTTGTTTCTGTTATTACCATATTTGTTGATGATAATAAGTGGCCAATAATATTGCCATGAAAAAATAATAGTGCTACTACAGTGCGATAAGCTAATGTCAATTTAGAAAAAATAATTTTTTTTTTTATATTCAAGAAAATAATAAAATAACTCTCACTTAATATAAATTCAACATGTCTTTATTCAAAACTATTCATAGAGAATGTATGACTAAAAATATGAAAAGATCTAACTCATTTTATGGACCGATTCAACCGAACAAAAAAAGAATAAGAACATGTCAATTCAAATTTCAACTTAGTACTTGACCAGTTTTTTTTTTGACATCGTCATCATCGATATCATCGAATGTATATATTGACATGATACGAACAAATAAATATGTATATTGTCCAAGAAAGATGATGATATACATTCAATACATGTGATATAAAATATCAAAAAAGAAATGATTCAAATGACATTTTTTTTATTTATATCAATTGTTTTCAATAGAAATGTTTCTATTTAGAATGATAGAAAAAAGAAAATAAATGAACATGTACTTAATTGTTGTTGATTAACCAGATGTTTGGAGCATACTTGACAAATTAATAGTAACTACTAATGATGACAGTCGATTATTTAGAATATTGATAGACATTTGATATTATAGAATATCCTTAAAAATCAAGGGCAAAAGAACTGATTCAACAAGGCAACCAATTCATCGAGTTGTTTACCAAGTATTGCGATAGATCTAGTCAAGAATTAATTATTAGTTTCAACAACAACTCCCATGCACTTTACAAATGAGCTATGCGAGAGTTGAAATGGAACTGTCACATACGTGATGAAAATTGACTAAAGATTATTGTTTTTTGTGCTATATATGTGCTATCATTAAAAAAAAAGCATAATTAATGATATTTCTTTTTGTGATAAATATTTAAATAGATTTTCCAAGTGTCGATGATGACATTTGTAAAATTTATTAAAGAAAATTAAAACGAATACCTATGATAAGAAGAAAAAAAAAGATCTTAAAAAGCTTCATAATTATAACATTGAATTGATTGCTCATTATTCAATTCCTTCTTTTTTCAACTATTTGATTATTCTCAGTCAATGATAAGATTAGAAAAAGAGTGTACTATAGAAAGATCGAAAGGAAAAGTAATGCATTTAGTAAACACTGACTTTAGATGTCTATAGGCTTTTCTCATTATTCTGTAACTAGTAGTAACAGTTATGAATAATACTTGATAAATATTAACTAAACTACTTCGGAAAAATAACTACTATATTACTAAAAGTTCATTCATCATGGTCGCAGCTATATCATTTTCACTAGATGTAAATGAGCAATAATTGTCAGGTATTTCATTTATTAATTTTGTTCTTATTAAATGACTAGATTTTCAAATTCAAAACAACTAAGAAATATTGTCGATGTACACTTAATGTATAATCAATTGACTTAAAATGATTGATGATTACAGCCATCCTACAGTTTTCTTTTTTCGTAACTTATGTATAATCTCTATTAGAATGTTAGTATTATTTTATGCCATAAAGAATTTATTTTGGTACCTATAATTTTCTAAAGCATTTTTCGATTATTTTCTACTTCGATAGTTTTTCCTTTCGACGACATACCTATCTAAATGGAGACAAGATATGACATGCAACTTACTTGTGTATATGAAATTATATGTTGATTAGTTACAAATCATACGTCAGTAAATTTATTAAAAAGTCTTTATCACAATCTATGTCATGACAAGCATGCCAAGCTTTTAAAATGATGTTACTATAAACTGTCATATATTATTTGACAAGATAAGTAGCTTTTTCTTTTATTAGCTAATTTGTAAATTGATTTATTTACAAATTATTTTATAATATTTATATTTGAAAATTGAACTCTTCTTTATTTTATGTGTAACAATATTGTTTATTTTTCTCAGATGAAAAATAAAATTTTTGTACAAGAAATAAAAACACTTCTGTCGAGTATATATTATAAATTTAAAAAAAGAAAAATTTCAACAATCCATGAGAAACATGTTTATGATTTAGATATATGTATGTATCATCTGGATTCAATTGGTCCAAAAGACAATTTGGGATGTGGCATTGAAAGATTTCGAATAAGTTGTTCGATTTTAATATTATTTGTATGTGTTGGAGGTAATGTATGTCGATAAATTTCAGCTGCTTTTTCATAATATAATAAAGCTTTTTGACGTTCACCTTTTAAAGCATGAACAATACCAATATTTCCCAATGCTTTAGCAATATTCGGATGACCCATTGAATAATATTTCTGTAAAATTTTAAACGATATATTATAATGTTCTAATGCTAAATCATATTGTCCAAGTTGTCTGTATGTACTAGCAAGATTACAATGTGCTTTACTTATATCAAAATCATCATGTGAAATATATTTTTCTAAAATAGTTAATGTTTTTTTAAAAAATTCTAAAGCTAATGAATAATTATTTTCTTCTTTATAAATAATTCCAATATTATTCATACATTCAGCAATATTTAAATAATTATCATCAATAGATTGTTTCCATATAATAATTGCTTTATCATAAGATTCAAGTGCTAATTTTGATTCATTTTTTTCATTATATACATGACCCATACTATAATAAATACGTGCAAAAAATATATCATTTGGTTGTAATGTTCGTAATGATATATCAAGTGATTTTAATAACCATTCAAGACTTGTATCATAATTTTTATTAAGAAAATCTATATTACCAAGATTAAGAAGACAACAACCAAGACGTTCATCTTCATCAGATAATTCATTAAGTAAACGACAATAATATTTTTTTGCTTCATCTAATTTATTCATTTTTTGTAATATATAACCATATGATAAAAGATTTATTTCATCATCATCATCATCATTATTATTATCATTATTTTTATAATTTTTAAAAATTGGTTTTAAATGTTTATTTGTTCTACTTGATAATTCCATTTCAATAATCCATAAATTATTAATATCTTGATAAATATTCTTAATTTCAAATATAGATCCTAACATAAATAATACTTCATCTTGATTATTAGTATTATGAAAAGAATTTTGTGATGTTATATAAGCAAATGGTTTTATTTTATCAAGATTAGAATCAGTTGTAATTTTGAATAATACAGATTGAAAATCAGTATTATTTAATGATATTATAGAAGATGGAAGTGCTGAATCACGATTAACTTGTGTCAAAAGAAAATTATTTATTGATATAAATTGCCCAATCGAATCTTTCAATAAATCTAATTCTCTATTTAACATTAATTCATATCTATAAACTTGAATTGGTGTTAAACAATGATATTCTTTTAATTGTTGTTCAATATCATGAATAAAAAATCTAAGAAGAAAAATTAAATCAATATTTTGTATTCTTAAAGCTTTATTTAATAAATGAGAAATAAATGTATCTCTTGTAAACCACCATAAAGCATAATCAGATGTATAATTTTGTTGAAATTCACGTAGAATATTTAATTGAAATTTATTTCCTTTATATTGATTCCTACATAATGTTATAAAATCATTCATATCATTTGGCATTGAATCCATTTGAAGTAAGGTTTCAATAAAAATTTGAGAATATATAAATTTATCATTTGAATTATTTAATTTATCAATATAAAAAATATCAAATAAAATTTTATTTTTAATATATTTATATTTTATTTGATCAAATTCAATTTGTTTTATAAGTTCATTATAATTTAAACAAATAGATTTTATCTAAAACTAATAAATTTTATTTTTTTTGCTCATAAATTATTTCATATTTATTTATACCTTATTATATTGATTAATCCATGGTTGATCTATATTATTATTTGAAGAATAAATATATATAGAAAATATTTGTTGTAAATGATGAATACGTGAAATAAATTTTTCTCCAATTTGATCATCTGTAATAAATATAATATATTCATCTTGAGACATTTGTTTAATATATTCTTCACAATCATTTTCATCTTCAAATATTTTTAAATGATTTATTATTGTACGAAGTTGTTGAATAGAAATATTTTTTTGAGATTTTTTTTTGTTTTTATTATCAAGCCAAATAATTGTATAAATATCAAGATTTTCATTAGGATTCAACGATTTTTCAATTGTTGAACTATTTGAACCATGGCATAAGCCCATCGTTGATAATTTTTAGTACAAGCGCAATTTATTTGACGTATGTAAGTGTCGATGATCATTCATTAGAACGTATCGAAAGAAAAAAAAAAGAAGAAAAAACTATTAGTTACATAATTATTCAAACCAAGCAATCAAACTGATTCGTTCTCTATTTTTTTTTTTTTTTTTGTTATGATCGATATGACAAATAATGAGAAATAATTGATTTTTGATAAGAAGAAGGTCATACATTTATATGTATGCATGTTGAATATATGCTCAAAAATAGATATCAAACTAAGGTATATAGTTATATTTAGCTTAAATTATGTTTATTAGTATTGTTTTTTTTTTCTGTTTAGGTGATGACGCAAATAAAGATTGCCGATTGTATATCATGCATAATCCAAAAAAACAAAAACAAAAATATCGATGATTATTGAAGATTACATCAAGAAATTGAATTGTGTCGTTCGATTTACAATCGCAAAAGCATTAGCATTAACTTTTTTGCAATACTTCCAAAAAATTAGAGTGACACGAAGAAATTTCAGAGAATGAAGACAAGTTTTTTTTTTTCTTGAATATGTTCCTTATTTTTACTGATGAGGAAAGATCACCAAAATGTAACTCGTCAATCGAATTGATATTTTGCCAATAAATGAGAATAGTAGCAATCTATAAGAATTCATTCATATGCATGGTCTTTCTCATGTTATTACAATTTTTATCTCTGACATGATATTGATGAAAAAAAAATCGAATTACAGAATTTCGACTAATAGATATCGAATGTTAAAGATACTGGATTTTCTAATCTTTCCTTATGACACATGATTGATTTTAGATATTCAGTATTTCAAAAAGATCATATCCTTTTTAGGCTGAAATTTTCAGAGCATTTCCATGTCTACGAGACTTACCTATGGGCAAAATTTCAGGTTGAAATTCCATAATTCGATTTTTTCACAAATGCCTTGTGCAGAGATAAAAATTGTAATCGCTTGAGCAAGATAGCGCATGGCAATGAACCCTTATAGGCTTCCGTATGGACAAAATAGTAGTTCGATTTGCGAGTTATACAGTGAGTGAAGCTGATTTTTTTTTTGTTTTTGAATATTACGAGTCGTTTATTTGGGAGTTTTGTTCTAATACACATTTATCGTGTTTTTTATATTTTATTTTCATCGACAGCTTTTTGAAGGATTTATAGATCAAGAAAAACAATTATAGATATTTTTTAAGTCTTAATTTGTGTTGTTGATTTCATTAAGAAATGAAATTCTATATCCTTAATACTTTTAAAACCCAGAAAAATAAAAGCATGACTTAGCAGTTAATATTATGCTGTAGGATGAAAATATCAGTGTGTCTTGTCAGTCAGCAAAACCGAAAAGTTTTAGTATGAAATGCAAAAATTTGTTTGTAAAACTCAAGAAAGATAAGTGCAAATGATGACATTAAAAATTAGTGTTTATTTAGAATTTTCATTGGAATATGAACGGTATTCTGTTTTAATGAAGAAATCATTAGTTTATTCGATGAATTTTTTTAATCATATAATATCTAGTAAAATGATTGTTTGTGAATTGATGATTATCAACAAGAGTAGTTGTCAATTAAATTTATTATTAGTATTTCAAGTTTAGATTTAAGAAAGCCTGAATCAATAATATTTATTTAAAAATAATTGTATTTTTTCTTTTTCAAATAGTAATTTAGTTTTTATTAAGCATCAGGTTGATCGATGTGATGAAGATCAGACTGTTTATTTGATTCATCAAAATATTTTGGACGTTTTATAATACGTGTTGGTACAGAACTATGTCGATAATGTAGCATATATGGAGTTGGTGGATTTATATCTTCAGGAGGTTTTAATTGAGTTGAATAAGATTGATTTATAAGAGATAAATTTCTACCATTAAAGACTCCATCAACATTTGATTTTAGTCGAGTGTTAAAAAAATCGTTCGAACATAAAATAAAGTATTTTTATGTTTATTTTTTGTTATTATAATTTTTGAAACATACTTTTATTTTGTAAATTTTCTAATAATGATGATGATGATGATGATGTCATAGGATTTGATTGTTTATTTGCATGAAATAAATGTACAACATCATGATCTATTCGTTTGGATTTTGATAAGTTAATATCATGAGGATGCACTTGAGTCTTACGTGTCCATGATCGATCTTAATTATATTCAAGTCATAGAATATATATATATATATATATATATATGTATACATTAAGTATTTAATTTACCTGGACTTTGTTTAATACATTTTTCACGTTGATGATCACGAAAAGGTACACGAAATTCAATGGATCTCACTCGAAAACGATCGACTAAGAAAAAGTTCAAAATAATTATCTAAGTAAAGTGTATAAATTAGACATGAGCGGAACCAGTCGTTTTTCAGCGCAAGTTTTACATGATCATGAAAGATATCGTTTCCAATAAAAAAAAAAAAAGTATTGCTTGTGATCCCAGAATCATCTTGCTCATATCTAATATAAATACTATCATGTTAGAATTCTCAACAAGAATGAATTAACGACTTCACAAATATCTATATTTAGCTTCTATGAAGTTGCTGGAGTTCAAACGAGCTCAGACTTTTCTTTTTGACAGAATGACTAAAATACTATCCTTCAAGTATATTCATTCTAGAAATAATATGTGGACCTAAGTTTACTGCAATAACAGTATCTTTAATTTAATAAATACTTACAAGATAATGGAACATTTGATGAACGGTTTGATGATGACATTGAATCATTCAATAGAAAATCGTGTACATTTTGTTAGTATACTTAGATGAAATGACTTCATTATTTTCTAACCAATGAGGAATAAAATCTTATGGTTGATTATATCTCATCATTTCAAAGGAAAAAACACCACTTAATACGGATATGAAAAAAAAAAACCAAAACAACAGCAGATTTTCAGTTGAATAAGCAATTGACATTGGATATTTCAAGAAGACTTCCATCATCACAATTCAATAAAAATCTATTTGTACTTTTTTCATGAATAAAAATAGGACTTTTTTTTCAAGATTATAAATAATATAGAATAGATTTTGTTTTGATCAACAATAAAAGAAAAGTTCAAAGATCATTCTTATAGTTTAGAATAAGAATTATTCATTGTTTAAATCATCCATTAGGAAATTTATTGAATAAAGATTCAAAAAAAAAAAGAAATCATATATTAATAAAAAATTTTTCTTGGTTTTTTTTTTCTAAGATAAAATTAATGAGATTAAATTATAATTTAGCCACTTCTTGAAAGTAGACACTCATCACTTTCATGCCATTCATATAATTGCTTATATCGAATTTTTCATTTTGTGAATGCGCACCATCATCACTAGCACCAACTGGTAATAATAAAACGCTTTTACCTGTTTGTTCTTGAAATGTTACTAGAAATAGAGAAAAAAAAAAAGAATAAGTCATTATAATATATTTTTTTCTTTCTATTATCAAAAATTCAATTTACATGTTATAGGAATTGAACCACCTTCACGTGTTAAATCAGGTTCAATACCATGAACAGCAACTGTTGCTTTACGTGCTGCAACATATTGAGGATTATTTGGATCAGCAACCCAATAATTACCACCATGTTCTAATTTAATAGAAACTTTATTTGGTGAATTTCGTGTTTTCATTATTTGTTTAACATGATTTTCAACTAATTTTTCTACAGTAGAAATTTTCATATTAGGAACAATACGAATCGAAAATTTTCCAATAACATGACGTGGAATGACAGTTTTACAACCACAACCATCGAATGCACCTAATAAAAAAATTTTAATTATTCTAAAAAAAAAACCAACGTAATCCTTTTTTTTTTCATACCTTGAATTCCATGTAAAGATAATGATGGATATCTCCATCGATGCATTAAAATTTTTTCTTTTTCAGTTTGAATTGTTTTTTTAACACCTGCTTCAGAACAATAAGTACTCTAAAATTAAAATAACAATATAAAATTCGTTCAAATCAGAAAATAAAATATTTCAACGAACCACATCAAATGTAATTTTACTATATAGTTGTTCTTCTGCTGGTGAAAGTGGTGCAACATCATCATACATACCATTAATTAAAATTCGACCTTGATCATCAACTAATGTACTCATTATAGTAATTAAATCAGTCATTGCTTCATGACTAAAATAAAATAAATCAGCAAAGTTTTTAATGAGATTAAGACAACACAACATGATGAAATTAGTTTTATTATAGACGAAAGGAGGTACTAAAATTTGAAAAATAATCTAAAATTATTGTCATAGATTCATACAAGGATTTATAGACAAAATTTTAGATCGAAACTTCATGATTTGACTTTTCGAGAGATACTTACAAACAAATCGAAAATCGGTCATAACTCAATGTCAAAAGTTCATAGGCACGAGCTTTTTTACGTTTTTCCTAGTATCATCGAGACCTTCTTTCAGACCCAATATGAACTCAAACAACGAGTTTTTGCTCGAGATCGGCATATTTCTTCATAGAAGAAAAATATTGACGATTTTTTATTTTATAGAAACAGTTCAATTTTACACTATTGAATGTATCCTGGAACATTTTTTGTAAACAGAAATTTCAATACTTATAAAAACTACTTACACTGTACCACCAAAAACACCTGAATGTAAATCTTTTGTTGAAGATTCAACATCAATAAAGAAATAACAAATTCCTCTAAAATAAAACGAAACAAAAAAAGAATTAGTTTAAAATAAAAAAAAAAAAAGATTATTCTTCTATACCGAAGACCATATTGTAAACAAGGTTTTTCTTTACCTAACCAATAACTATCAGAAATAACAACATAATCAACATCAGAAAGAAATGTATTTTTTAAAGATTTAAGTAAATCTTCGAGACCGTCACTACCATACTCTTCCATACTTTCAAGAACAAATTTAACATTAACAGGAAATGGTTCATTTAATGTTTGATAAGCTTCAATAACATTCAACCAACTAATAACTGGACCTTTATCATCAGTTGAACCACGACCAAATAATTTTCCATGTTTTTCAGTTAATACAAATGGTTCTGTATCCCAACCATCGGAAACTTGAGCTGGTTGTACATCCAAATGACCATAGACTAATACGTTTTTTTTTGTTTTATCATTTCCATAAGTACCTAAAATAACATCTGGTAATTTGATTTTTGTTCCATCAGCAAGTTTTTGTTGACCAATATCAGCTAATTCAACTTTAACACCTAATTTTTCCATTAAAGACTTTGTCCATTCAACCATACGAACAACTTCAGATCGATGATCGGGCCATGCTGATACAGATGGAATACGAACAGCATCACCTAATCGTTGAATATAATCTTTTTGATGATCGTCAAAATATCTATTCAATTAAAAATAATTTATATTTCCAATTTTTTTTTTTTCTTATTGAATTCATATATCTTACTTAAATAAACGTTTATTAAAATCTTCGTTCGACATGGTTTTTAGAAGGATAAATGAAGTCTTTTTTTTTATCTGAAAATATCAAAGAGCAAGTAAAACAGATCATGAAACAAGTTTTTATAACTCAGGTATATTTACATATGATAAAGGTCTTATATGTGTTCTGGTCAAAGTTTCTGTAAGATAAAAATTAAAGTGCAACATCAAGAACAAAAAAAACCGATGTATTCCCTAGAAGTCGTTAACGCCTATTCTTTGCTCGACATTGCCATAGATGAAATTACTTGAAAAGAATATATATATATATTGCTTGATATAACTCACTAATAAGATGATTATCACTTGACGTTCGTATCTCTCAAACATTCTATTGAAGAGAGAGTAAAGATTAGAAAAGATGAATTATGACGACAGCAATCATTCTAGAACAAAAGGAGAAAATCGTAAATTATAATAGATATAGCTGTATTAGTAATAGTCTTTATAATAGTGATCATATGTCGTAAAAAATCCATCTAAGATGGGGTATATTTATTAAATTTCTCACATTTTACATTCGACTATACCTTCAGCTGATAATAATAAAAGAATTTTGTCAAATAAGAACAATATATATATATTTGTCTCTGTTGTATTATAACGATATAAGTGTCCAACAAGTAGAGAGAATAGTTAAATGTCGAAAATGATAAATCCTTAATAAACAACTTTGTCTAAGCTTTGATCAATAGAATGTAACATTGGTATACATGCACACAGCACAATATTAAGGGTGTGAGTGAAATCAGTATGTATAAAGGATTAACATTTTTGACATTTAATCGTCCAACCAACAATTATCTTCATTATATTCTTTGAGTAAGCTGTAAGGAATAAAAAACACATTGTTTTAATTTTCTTGTTAACTTTTCATATTACAAACAACATAATTTATCCTTGTTTTATATCTATGCATATATGTATATATATATATATATATATATATATAATGCGCCATATTTTCTCTGTTCATTAAAGCACAGTTCAGTTCTACAAGAACCACGCTAATACAAATATGAAGAAACAAAACAGAATCTACTAATGTATACACAAAAAAAAGGCATGAAAGAGTAAAGAAAAACTTCTCTCTCTCTCTCTAAATATATATATATATATATACAATTTAACAAAACTAAAATGAAATGAAACGGAAATAAAAACAAAAAAAAAACGGAACTTTTTTCGTCTATAAACAAAAAACGAACGTAAACCCAACCAAAAAGAAGAAAAACGAAACAAATGAAATCGTCAAAATATGAGCGAGAGAAATTTATGGCACAAAAAACTATACAATAAAATGTTTATGTTTGTATACAACGACGTTGTCGATTGCCAAGAACAATATTATCAAGATCAAGACCTGAACCAAGAAATAATTTTTTATTTTTATTTGTTGAAACAATAGAAGAAGTTTTTGTTGATGGAATTTTTTTAGATTTTTTTAATGAAGTTTTTATTGTTTGAATTCGAGATTTATTTATTTTTTTAGGTTCTATTTTTTCAACAATAATTGTCGATGATTGAAGTGGTTTTGTTCGACGTAATTTTACACGTTCTTCAATCGATAATGATGGTGTTACATCAATAGAGTCCATTTGAGATATATTTAATGATTTTGTTTTACCTTGATCAATTCGTTTTTTCTTTTTATCAATATTATTTTGTGTCGATTTGATGGTAGTCTAAATTTAGAATTCATTTTTAACTAGAAGTCATTGAAAAACAAAAAAGTATATCCGATAATGTATTCTATTTTTCTAGAACATACTTATGAATTGAATAAACAAAATTCAATAACTACACAATGATAAGTGTTCGTCGTCTCTATTCAGATCATTAAACATCTAATGAACTTATAATGACGTTTAACTTTTCTTTTATTTTTTTTTGTATTATTAGTATACAAACATTATTCAACTGATAACATCCAAAAATTGATCGCCATTATGAGCTTACTGTCACAAAAAATGATACTTTTAGTTTGTGTATGTCAGTTTGACATGAAAATCTTGATTGGTGTAATACTTTATTCTTGTCAGGTTTCATCTATCACGATTGCAATAGTCATTATAACTAAAAATCTTAGATTTATTAGTACCCTTTTTTTTTCTGTCATCTATATTAAATGATTGTAATCTAGAAGTGATATATGTAACATTCAAATCTATCTTTATTTTTAATAGTAAATAAAAAACTTGAATATAATCATCTGTTAAGATTTGTTTGTCATTCATTTCGTTTCTTCTTCAAAGAAATTAGAATAAAAAAAAAACAAAAAGAATTAAAACTATTATCAATTATTTTACTTGATATATGATTTAATTCCTTATTGTATTCCTGGAAGATTAAGTAAACGCATGATGAAGAAATATGTCCCAAAATAGATAGAACAAAAAGTAACCTTCCTGTGATTAGTAACAGCTGTTCCATATTTTAATTCTGCGTGAATCATTCTAACAGATTTTGTTGTTAAGAACTGTATTATTCCCAAAAAAGAAAATAATTATTCTTCATTTTAAACGATCTATTCATAATGCTTAATGCATATTCTCGATAAATGAATCTACCATATGACTCAAATCATTCGGTATAATATGCGTTATGCCAGCGGTACTTATGGATATCGCGATAGTACGAATAAATATGTAACATGGATTCTTTGCTTATTTTAATTTATATATTCAAACATACATACTTTTGATGAAGTTTTATTATCTTGTTTTTTTCCTGATTGTGAACGTGAATTAGTTATAAGTGTTCGTGTTGATAAGCGATTACGACGAGATCTATTTGATGTTTTCTTATATGATCGTGTATTTGTATTTATTGAAGTACTTGGTACTTGAATTGGTGTATTATTTGAATTCGATAATATTAATGAACTGTTTTCTTTATCACTCGAACTACGATCAATTGATACCGTACGATTTGTAGTTGATATTGTTTCATCTAATAAAAAAAAATAATCATCAATCATTAAAAAACAAAACAAAAAAAATAATAATAATAAAATTTATTCATACTCATACGATTTGAAGATCGACGATATTTTTTATTTTTTCCTTCACGTTGATTTAATGGTAAATCATCATTATCATCAGACACAGGTTGTAATGAATACGAATGATCAGTAAGAAACGTATAATTACTTAACATCATTATAATATCAATTCATTGAATAATTATATGAATAGATTATAACTCATGTGATATAAAAATACAATGAATGAATAAGTTTTCTAGAAAACAAAATGATTTGATCTGACAGTTATATGTAAGAAAATAAATAAATAAACAACAATGATTAGTATATTTATATTTACATTATTTTCAATTGGTTATTTTATTCATTCATTCAGCTTGATTATTCAGTAAATTAATAAATGAAGAAAAGAAAAACAAAAAAGATTTTTCATTAAAACAAAATTAGTTTGATTTTATTTTTCGAAATATTTTAAATATATCATTTTGCAAATTATTTTAGTATCAGGAATTTCCAAATGTATAATAGTGACATCTGTTTTTTTTTCTTGAACGTATCTCTCAGAGAAGTAAACATGGTACTATGGATGATTGCTCGTCTCTTCCAAAATGTATTTTGAATTTTCCTCAGCAGAAAAATGAAGCGATACGTCCTGAAATGAATTTCAAAACCAGTTTTGTGACCATGATCGTTTCCTTTCGTCCTTCCTGAAACTTTAGGTCCATCTCTGGATAATAGATTCTCTAGTATACTGCCAAAGGGATGAAAAGACATTTGTTTCTTTCTTGCTTTTACTAGCAGATGTGCTTCTGACTAGTGACCTCTATTCGAAGTCTTGAACGAACGAATAAATCCAGTATATTTTTACACAAGATATTCGAAATTGGTAAAAGAAACATAATTATTATATGCTTACTACTGACTTCAACATATTTATGCCACTCTACTAGTAACTACTTCGACAAAATTTATAGAGAGGAGAACAAGCAAAACAATTTGGATCTAAAATACATGTTTACAGAAACTTACCAGTAACGAGAAGTGTCTTATTTGATCGTAAATCAATTTTAGATTTCTTTTATGCCTAAAATGTGACACAAGACCCGTTGGGCCGAAATTATAAGCTAAGCGCATAAGCTGCTAATAAAGGGTGAGCCATTTAGAATGTGACAACATACTATTCGATTGATTCATCTCTAAAAATATTATGATTTATTACCAGTCGATTATATTGAAGGGCCAGGATAAAAATGGAAATAGCCATAGACTAAATTACTTTTGTACTTTTTTTTTTCTTCAACTAGTCTATATATGTTCTCGTCCTTTTGACCTACCTGTTTTGTAGATAAAAACTTTACATTAATCATATTTTCAGTATAGTACATAAAGAATTTGTGATGAAGACTCGATAATTTTCTTGTTAGAAAAAGCTATGTCTCTACTATAAAGGTGTTTAAAAGTATTTCATTCAAAACATTTATCGAAGACTAAGAAGTTTTCCGAACATGTTGAACTGAAAAAGTTTTCTTAGAATTTAGAAGAAATCCTCTCTTAATTTAATCTTTGATCTTCTATCGGATTTTGTAGTGCTACAATGGAGTTCAAAATCGATATTTTTCTAACGAAAAGTATTCACATCTGATAAATGATTTTGAAAAGTAAGATTTTTTCTATCAATCGAAATTAATGAAACTTCATATTTTATGTTCAATTAGAGTTTAGCAAGACTTCTATAGACGCACATTATATAACACTTCCTTGGGAGTTGTAACAAGGAAAATCAATTTTTTTTCAATAAAACTGAACCTGTAGCTTTTTTTTTGTAAATTGAATATTTTGATACCATTAAAAAGCCACCATTGTGTTGGTTTTATTCACACATATCGTGCCCTAAAAATTTCCAAAGTTGAATGCAAGAGACAAATCGATCAAATGTACTTCTCATTACTTATTTTGTGTAACGTTGCAAAGCATTTTTTCAATCTTCGATAAATATATTGAACGAAATATTTTTATATAGCTTTGTAGTAGAGACTTTAAAGAAAAACTATCAAGCCTTTACGATGAGTTCTTGTCATGCTATATTGAAAAAAAAATTTAATACCGAACTTTTGCATCATTCGTTAGCATTTTTCTTTTTCACAAATTATCAAATACTTCCTATTTTACTAAGTTATCATTTCGATAATAAATGAACAAGGACATTGGTTCTATCAATTATTAAATTTACGTATAATTATCATATTATTCAATTATCGAATATGATATTTCATATTCATGTGTATTTAATAGAAGAAATATAAGTTTTCGACATTGAAATGATATATATGAAAAACAACGTTATTCTGTATATACATTTATAGATCAAAATGATTAATTAATGGCTCTGTCTAATTCTCTATTATTATGAAAGAAAGAAAAGGTTTAAAAAAGAAAAAAAAAAAAAGAAAAAAGAAATCGACTTTTGACTAGAATCAAAAAATCTTATAAATCAGTTTTTATTGTTGGTCGATCAGTTGAATTAGTTGATGATTGTTTGGTTTCAAATGAACGTTTATATTTATTTAATCGTTTTTTAATATTTGCATCAAATCTTGGTTTCGGTTTTTTACGCAATGCACTTCGACGTTCACTCATTGTCATTTCTTTATATTCTTCAATTTCTTCTTCTGTATTACCTATTAATAATATATATGTATAATATATACGTATATTAAATATAAGTTGATCGAAAAAATCGATAACTATCTACCGGCTTGACACTCTTCACTACAATCTTCCTTACGGCTGACTGGACATTTCATACGTTGCATACATTTATCATAAGATAAGAATTCATTTGCTTTTGGTGATAAATAAACTATATGAATAAATCAAATATTTATCATTGTCTTTTGTTTGATATATAAACTTACTATTAGATGTATCTATTTTATGCTGTTTTTCATTATGTTCTTCGAGTTTATTTAATTGTTTATTTTGTTGAGCAGCTTGATTTTTTTCGGTTGAGTCACTGTGAACATGTTGATATATACAGAGAGTAAACACCACGTATAGAAATAAATATCGTCCTGTTATATCTACCTAAATAGCAAAGGCCTGACAATTACAAAAGTATTATGTACATTACAACACGAAAATTTTTTATTTTTTTTCTTTTTCTTTTCTTTGATAGTGTTTACTGTGACTATTTTTGTATGAAGACAAGTTGAATGAATAATCATATGGACATCTGAACGCTTCAAACCGAAACGCAAAACAGGTTAACGACATGTGCAATACATCACGAGGATGTAGAGTGATGCTTATACACATAGCATACACCTTTTTTTCTTTAGCCTCTCTCTTTGCTCGTATTCGACTGTTGTTGAACAACATCGCCGATACGCTGTCAGTTTGAAACGAATGATAATGGTAAAATAATACATAGTGTTCTTTTTTTTTTTTTTTTCTTCCCTCCTATTCTTCGTCATTCACATGTAAAATACCTCGCAAAAGTGGTGTATCGTACGTGTACCATGAAAACAATCGAAATAGACGAATACTATTAAAAGTCGACACACAAAAATGATTGGAAGAAGAAAAATAATCGAATAAAAAAAGATCGACCTGTACACAATCGATAAAAAAAAATCGTCTCTTTATTTTGGCTATACCCTCGGAAAAGAAAAAGAAAAACAATGGGTAACAAAGATTATTATGCCATATTAGGTGTTAACCGTTTGGCTAGTGATGATGAAATCAAACGTGCCTATAAACAAAAAGCACTTAGACATCATCCAGACAAAAATTGTGGTGATGTTGAAGCTGAAAAAAAATTTATGGATATTAGTGAAGCATATGAAATATTATCCGATCCATATAAACGTTCATTATATGATCGTTTTGGTTCTGAAGAATTACGAAATTATTTAGGTGCAGATCCAAATACTCAGTTTTCGTCATCCGGTCCTTATTATACAGATTATAGAACTGATTCAAATAATGATTATACATATGATTCATATAATAATTATTTTGTACGTTATAAAGATCCATCAACATTCTATGATTTATATGTTACATTAGAAGAAGTTAGTAAAGGTGCAACAAGAAAAATGAAAATAACACGTAAAAGATTTAATGTTGAACTTAATACAACTGTACGTGATGAAAAATTACTTGAAATTCAAATAAAACCTGGTTGGAAAGAAGGTGAAATATTTCTTTTTTTTTTTTTTTAGTTTTTTAAAACAAGATTTTTATAATTAATTTCATTTATAGGAACTAAAATAACATTTGAAGGTGAAGGTGATGAATTTGATCAAAATACTATAGCTGGTGATATTGTATTTATTATTCGTGATAAACCCCATTCAATATTTGAACGATCAAGTTCTGATTTAATTTATCGAGTTAAATTAACTTTAAAACAAGCATTACTTGGTACATTAATTGTTATACCATTTCTTGATTCAACAAAACAACCATATCAATTTTTTTCTCATCATGAAATCATAACACCACAAACAGAAAAACGTTTTACAAATGAAGGTTTACCTTATCCAAAAGATCCAATAAGACGTGGTGATCTTATTGTTAAATTTGATATTCTTTTTCCAAAAGTACTTAATACTGAACAACGTACAATTGTAGATTGCTGTTTTTCAAATACAATTGATACTTATCAACCATATGAGTCTATATTTCATAGTACAATTATCGACGAGACACAACAACAACAATATCAACAACAGCAACAATTGTTTTCACAATTACAACAACCAAAACAACAATCACAACAGCAACAACCAAAACCACAGCCACAGCAACAACAACCAAAACAACAATCACAACAACAACAACAACAACAGCCACAACAGCAACAATTATTTTCACAGTTACAACAATCACAACAGCAACAACCACAGCAACAATCACAACAGCAACAACCACAACAACAATCACAACAGCAACAACCACAACAACAATCACAACAACAATCACAACAGCAATTATTTTCACAGTTACAACAACCACAACAACAATCACAACAACAGCCGCAACAACAGTCGCAACAATCGCAACAATCGCAACAACTATTCTCACAATCCCAGCAAAAACGGCAAGCATCACCACCACAAAAGCAATCAATTCCTAATTTGAATTCAACATCTATTAACAAACCTCAGTCTACATCTACTAACGTGAAGAATAATCAAACAGTTTTAAATCGCCATAATAATAGCAATGGACATCAAAAGTCATCAAATATTACAACTAAAAATCGTAATAAAAATAATAAAGTATCATCTGTTAACACTTCTGCATCAGCATCAGCATCAGCATCAACAACAGCAACAGCATCAACAACAGCAACAGCAACAGCATCAGCATCACCACCACCAACAACTTCGCCTAGAACATCATCCATCAATGAGATTGTTTTTTGATCTTTGCTATTGTCATCAATCATAACGTTTGTCTTCTTTTTTTTTCTTATATAAATCAAGTTTTACTTATTCTCATATAATGCTGTATTAATAATGATGAGAGTAGCAAAATCATTTTCAATAAAAAGAAAACTAAAACTTATGTCTATATAACTATTTTATTGTTAAAATATATTGATCAATAAAGAAATTTCAACTCGCTACTTGCGCATATAATTAAATCAGTAAGATACACTCACACACAAACATATGTATATTCTTACCATTGTATATATGGTACGTTGGTTGGAACTAACACAAAAAAAAAATGGATAGATAATCAGTGGCTCGTCTTTCCTCGTCAGATAGAACGAGTAATAACATTCATCAGAAATAAATATCCGATAGATATTTATAGATTCTTGATAGTCAAGAATTAGACACGCCGAACGAGAAAATATGTACAATAATATTGTATAAATAATCACAGAAAAAGAAAAAAAAGTATTTACAGAAAATATTAAACATCAATCGTATTAATAATATTACACACAATGAAAAATATAATTTATCTTATTTTCTATTTTTTTGTTTTTTCTATTATAACCAAACCAATTATTAATGACATCTATCATCAATAGAAAGGATCAAAAAATTCTCCAATGGCCAAAATAAATTGTAACACTAAATAACGGAAGAAAAAGAAAAAAAAAAAACGTTTGTTTTTTTGCATATTGACGAAATCATTTCTTGTCTTGAGTCGATAGATCGAATCATGGTTGAAATACAAACAAATCGATCAATTGATATATCAAATACGATCAATACAGCAATTAATAATTGGTTACCTGATGGAAGAAATCAATTGTAAAAAAAAAACAAAAATTCTTTTTATTAATATTATTATTTATTTTCCTTTTTTTTTTCTCTGTATAGTAATCAGCTGTATAAACAATTACTTGATGATGATAAAGATAAATTAGAAGCTGAATTGGGTAAAAATTAAAATTTTTGTTTGATGAATAAAAAAAATTTACTATTTTTTTTTTTTCTAGCAATGAAACAATTACTTGTTTCTTTATGTAAATCATGTTTACAAGGTAGTCAATCAGTGGAAACAGTTATTCGAATATTTGGCGAACTTCAAGTAAATTAATTATACATGAAAAAATATTTTGAAATATTTATCTATTTATTTATTTAGGAAATTGTTATGTCTCCATCAATGATCGGTGATCTTCTAGCCGATATTTTTGCAACACTTGGTTAGTTCCTTTTTTTATTTTAAATAAAAAAAAAAAAAAAAAAATTAAATTTTTGTTTTTCTAAATATAGATATTGAATTATTTCCAAATGATGATGTAATTACAAAAGATACATATAAACAAAGATTTTTTCAATTAATTAATAATTCTGAAGTAAGAATTGAATAAGAAAAAAAATTTTTTTTTTTTTTTTTTTTTTTTTTTTTTAAAATTTTTTTAATTAATGAATAATTATAAAAAAAAAATTTAAAAAAAAAAAAAATTTTTTTTTTTTTTTTTTTTTTTTTTTTCGAACATTATCTATTAGTCTGGAAGTGTATAATGAATAATTTTAGAAAAGATAAAAATTTATTGAATACAATATGTATGATAATTTGGCCAGTAGATACTTGAAATATTAGACAGTGAAGAGAAGTTTTCGAATAGAAAAAAAAAAATGTTAATATACATAAACTTCGGGATTATTATTGCATCTCATTGATTCAAAAATTTATTGTTTTATTATCGAATCAATTTAAAGTTTCAATTATTCACTATGAATATTAGAAAAAGTGACGAATATGTTTGAAATTATACAATGTTATTTTTAATTAATAAATATTTAGGATATAATAAAAAGTAATGACAAACAGAACTATTATATCGTATAAAAAGTTTAAGAAGAATTTTTATTCATAGTACAAACAATACTTTAGATTTTATTATTCTTTAATTTTCGATGAAAGCTATTTATCTTTTGCTTTGAATGGATAAGAACAATTTTCGCTTCTATACTAAAGTGTATATTACAATTCTTATGCAATTACAAGTTATTTACGACTTACCTATGTTCTGTTTTCAGCGACTAAGTTTTACCTATAAAGTGAGTTAACATAGATGATCAAAATGATTTCATGGAGATCGATGAAGAAATACGATCCGATAGACCTACCATCAAGACAATATCTGAAAATATTGATCAAGTTCTTAGCCTTTTCTTATACTATAATCATATTCTTTACTTTCTAAAAGCATCGATTCGCATGTTTGATAAAGTGCTTTGTTGCACTTGCAGATCCATAACGAAACGTACGATAACATTCGAAACAGCTAATGAAATCATTAATACGTTCAAAATTATTTCTTTTATTTTTAACAACTATATATCCAAAAGAATCCCGTCAAGGCGTTAATACTTTTGTTGAACTATTATTTTCAAGAATAAGATTTTGGTCTTTTTTATTAATAGCAATTGTTTTAATTGTTTAGCACTATAAAAATCTAAAGAAGATAAAATGGAATGGCTGGTAAGAGAAGATGAATTTGATGTAGTAATAAAATTAGGAGTAGATATTTGGCAAATATCATCATCATCCAAATCAAATAATATGATATAAGACTCATAACTCAAATTTTTGCTTTAATGGGCTAATAACACGAGAATAAATAATACAAACAAAATGCTTCGATAGTCATTTTATTTATTTTTTAATTTTATCCTATCCATTTAGACATAGGTCTATAGAGGAAAACTGAATACCAGTTGGTGCCACTCTCGGTAGTTTATTTTTGACTCTCAAAGACTGAAAAAACGTTCTTTTTCACGATCAAAATTCGAAAAGTTGATTTTACAGCTTGTAGGATATGAGACCTTACTCTGCCCTATAAATGTCTTTGCTTCGACTAAGGAGAACCGATGAACTTTGAATATATTATTTCAGTCGATGGGATTATCTTATCAGATCTTATTTAATTTCACTTTCTCTTTTTTTTTTAGCATATTGTTTCAACATCATTATTAATGGAACGTCTTGAAATAGAGACATTAGAGTATCTTGATTTAATTGTTAGTCGTGAACAATTTAGTCAAAAATATGTTCGAATTAAAACTCGTCTTTAGTAAGTTTAATTTTCTATTCACTGAAAAAAACAAAAATTTTTTTTGAATTTGTCTACTATTTATTAAATAGTTATAAACAACAAAAATTTAATTTATTACGTGAAGAAAGTGAAGGTTTTGCTAAAACATTAACTGAATTAAATCAAAATTTTTCCATAACAAAATTAACATCCGAACAATTATATGATCGTTTAATGGCATTAATTGGTTATTTTGATATAGATCCTAATCGTATGCTTGATTTAGTTATTGAATCATTTGAATATCATCTTGAATATACAAAAATTTATGTTGATTTATTAAATTTACTTCATTTTGATAAAGTAACATTATGTCAATTAATTGGTTTTAAATTTCAACAATATCAAGTAAAAATAACATACTCCTTGTTTTTGTTTTTTATAAGATTTTATATTTTTGAAATTTTAGTTACAAGATGAAACAGTTGATTCACTTTATTTATTAGCTGCTCAACTTATTTCAAATAATTTAATTGAACTTGAAGATTTATTACCACATGTAAATAAGAAATAGATTGATATTTTAAAATATCTTATTTGATTATATTCTTTTAGTTGTATCCATTAATAACAGATTTTGCGGATAATTATACAAAAGAAGTTGAACAAGCACGTACATCAAAGAAAAATTTAGCTTCATCATCGAATGATTCAAATAATAAATCAAAAGATTCAAATACAATAGTAAGAATTTTAAGTTTTCTTGCGCTTTGAAATACATTCAAGGAATTTCGGACATATGAAATTGTGCTGATATAAAGATTATCAGCTATAATGAATAGCAAGTTGATATGTAAGAGAACAGAAAAAAAAAAAAAAACTTGATTTCGCATGATCTTAGTTTGACAAGGAAAGTCCGACAATTGATTAATTGCTTTTGAGTCGGAACTATGCGTGTCATGTCATCTCTAAGAAACTATATGAATGCTATGAAAGAAGTTCGGATTCTTAGCTTATTGGCACGAGCGTTTGTATTTTTAAGGTTATACCGTGGTCCTCTTCCGGAACAATAATTTTCCAATTTCTACTTGAAATTTTACACAGAAACAGACCTTAAGAAGGATAGAATATTGTGAAAGTTTCAAATCTCTTGATTGGCTTGTATTCTGAAATAAGAACATCAAAACTACCACGGACTTGATTTAAAAATTGCTGTAAAAGCGTAGTATCTTCGCAGCAATAATCTAAGAACACGAATTCTTTTCCAGGCTATTCACAGCTTATTCGAGTCTACATATTACATGTAGTTTAAACTCAAACATGATTAATCAATGGGAGAACTTTCCTCGTGAAAGTATTCTTTAGGAGATTTTATCATGACAAAAGTTTCAATAAATCAAATAGGATGTTTGTTACTATTTTTTGTAAAATGCTTCAAATCGAGAAGTGAGAATTGTTATGACTTGAACTCATAGATCTTGACTTAGTCGAATAACATTTCTATTGATTACTACGAACTATGTTTCTTTCGAGACGGCTGCTGATTTAGACGATAGTTAAAAATGAAGAATTTTTGTACTAAAAATTTATTTATTTATTTTTCTAGAAAACAAATAATCAGTTATTACATTTAATTCAAGCATTATTACTTGTCGGTGATTTAGATCATACATTATTTTTATTTAATAATTTACCTCGATGGTCATGTACATCCTATCGAGAAATAAATACACTTTTAACAAAAATTATTACTTATATGATTGATCCACTATATAAAAGGTAAAAAAAAGAAAAGAAAAAAAAAGTGAATTTATTTAATTTTGTTTTTTATTTTGAAGTAATTCGGATCTTCATATTTGTTTTCTTCAATATGAATTAACTAATCCATTAAATATAAATATTTGTCCACGTAATTTAAAATTAATAAAAACATGGAATGAATTTCGAGAACATATATATCCATTATTATTACATCTTGGTGCCTATTGTCAAGATCGTCTTTTATTTATGCAATTAACACGTTTATGTACAAATTTAATTAAAAAACCAATTCTTACTGATGAACAACAAGAAGATATACTTTTATTAATTGATGAAGTTCTTTTACCAAGTCTTTCATTACTTGATGTTAATAGTTGTTTAGCTATTGAATTATGGTCATTAATGAAATTATTTCCATCTGATATACGTTATGGACTTTATGGACAATGGCTTGAAGAAACATATAAAAAAACACCACAACTTATGTTTATTAAACAAGATGTTATAGATAAAAGTCGAGCTATACTCAGGTAAGATTAAAAGGGAAACGTTTTTGTTTTTCTTATTGATTCTGATATTAAGTGCATTTTCAAAGAGAAATCTATTTTAATATTTCATAATTTTTTGCCTAAAGTATTTAAACACACTGCTATAAGAAAAAATTGTAACAAGAGAAACAATAGTTTTCATATAACGGATGATCAAAAAGTATTATTATTAAAAATTTCTTAATTTTTTTTTAGACGTATTACTAAAGATAATGTTAAAACTTACAGTCGTCAAATAGCAAAAATAACACATAATAATCCAATAGTGATACTTTCAGTTGTAAGTAATCTTTTTTTTTTTTTTTTTTGTGTTATAAATTCCTATTTTTCTTTTTGTAAATTAAGATTATCGATCAAATTCAACGATTTGATAATTTTATATCTGTTATAAATGATGCATTAAAATATCTATCACCACTTGCATATGATATTGTTTGTTATACAATATTACATGCATTAACAACACCAACATCACCAACATCAATACCATCATATATTGATGGAAAAATGAGTCGTGAAAATGCAACACCAGCACAATGGTTTCAAAATTTATGTGTTTTATCAGCTAATGTATTTAAAAAATATCCTATTGATTTTACATCTGTTCTTTATTATATTTATGATCAATTGAGTGTTGAAAAAACATGTGATTTATATTTATTACGTGAAATAATAACAAAAATGAGTGGTGTTGAAGTAGCATCAACAGTTACACGTGAACAATTAGAAGCTGCATCTGGTGGTGAATTATTACGTAGTGAAGCTGGACAATTTACAGCAGCAAGAAATGTTAAAAAACCTTCAATACGTTTAAAAGAAGCTTTATTAGATAATCATTTATATTTACCATTATCAATTATTATAGCACAACAACGTAGTTGTATTGTTTTTAAATTTGGTGCACAAAGAATTGAACATTTAAAATTAATTGGTAGTCTTTATGATCAAGTTAGTTTTATTTTTTTTTTAATGAAAAAAAAATATATATAAAAATTATTTTATTTTTGTTTTAGTGTCAAGATACAATGGTACAATTTTTTACATTTTTATCAAATGTATTAACAACAGAAAATTTTCATCATAAATTTCCATCAATTGATGATCTTGTACTTGGTTTTCATTTACAAGTTGATGCTGCTTTTCAAATATCAAGACCATTATTTAATCTTAATATTCAAGTAAATGATCAATATTATATATATATATATTGAAAATATAAATATTTATTTTTATTAGGCAAAATTTGATGAACTTCGATCAACAGCACCAAAACCATCGAATAAGATTGCTTTGGTAAATCATAGATTTTTTTTTCTCTACACGACGAAGATTTTCTAATTAATTGGATTTAAGGGCATAGAAATATTAAAAAAAAATCATGATTCTTATAAATTTCGAAATGATAAAACAAGTTAAATTCATTGTTTTGTATAATTCAAGAGCATGTTTTCAGAGGTGCAAAAATATTTTTAGACATTAAAATTTAAAATTTCTGTATCTGTCCGATAAAGAAAAAAAACTTGCATGATACGAGTTTCATTAAACATCATGTTTTTAATTTATTCTATTCTAATAAACAATATATCTAATATTTCTCATATTTATCTAGATACAAAATTATATTGATGCAGTAACAGTTGTTATGTCACCTGTACTTGATTTTGTTAAAACTCTTCATCCACAACGAACATGGGAAGAAATGACGTATGTAAAATTTTGTTTGTTTGTTCTTATGAAATTTTCTATTAATCTTTTTTTAGACCACAATTTTATTTAACATTTTGGTCTTTATCAATGTCGGATTTACAAGTACCAGAAATAGCATATAAACGACGTATTGAAGAACTTGAACTTGAAACGACACAAATTGATGAACGAAAAGAATTGGTTTGTTTAAATAAACACAAAATATATATATATATATACGTTTATCCTTTTTCTTTTTTGTAGACAGCAGCAAAAAAACGTAAAGAAAAAGAAAAAATTCATATTATTATAGATAAACTTAAGGAAGAATTATTTAAACAAAAAGAACATGTTGAACGAGTACGTGCACGACTTGATATAGAACGTGAACATTGGTTTAAAAATCGTATGTTAAATTTAAATCTTTGCTTTTTTTTTTTGTTTCATTTTTGTCTATATAAACATTGATTCAAAAAAAGCAAAAAACAATTTTTATTTATTTCAGGAAATAAAACCAAAGCCGAAACTATCACTGAATTTCTTCAATTATGTATTTTTCCTCGATGTTTATTAAGTGAAATAGATGCACTTTATTGTGCACATTTTATACGTGTTATACATGATTTAATAACACCAAATTTTAGTACAATTATTTGTTATGATCGGCTATTTTCTGATATATCATATTCACTTGCTTCATGTTCAGAAAATGAAGCTATACGTTATGGACGATTTCTTGAATCATTATTAGAAACAGTTATGAGTTGGCATGGAGATAAAAACAAATTTGATAAGGTAATTTAATATTATTCAGAAAATGAGAATAAAAATAAAAACTATAAGAAAATATTTTAGTAAACTTATTAAGAATCGATTTTTCGGTCACATGCATTTAAATCGTATGAAATTTTCAACACTAAATTATGAAGTTTTCGGAAGATATTTAATAAACAAAAAATATGTCAATTTCGATTTCATTTAACATGTCGTAAACTGGACAAAAGATAATGATGATTTTATATATTTCGTAAATTATTTAAATCAAAAATTTTCGATTTTGATAAATACTTATTATGATGAATTAAATTACTATAATTTGAATTTTGTCAAAAAGGGAAATATAAGCGTCATGGTGATTTCTGGCTTCGGAATGAGATTTATGTAGGGTAGTAGATGTAGACTCCGTCTATCTAATTATCAAGTTCTATTTCATACTACTAAGATGTCCATAGGAGGCATCGCTTCCGTCATATTCGTTTGTAATCATGGCGAAAGTGGCAAATCTCTGTTCGACATTTTCTCTACTAAACTACATATATTCCGTTTTGTGGATCAAAGTCTTAAAATCATCTTTTTGAAAATTTGAATTTTCTTTCAAACTAACATTAACTATATCAAATGGCTATTTTTTTTTTAATTGTATTATTTATTTATAAAACAAAAAAATTATTTAACAAAAAAACAACAAATTTCTAGGAATGTGCATCACATCCAGGTTTTCTTACTGTTTTTCGTAATGCTGGTAATGCAGCATCGAAAACAACAGGTACAACACAAACACCTGAACAACTTGATTATGATAATTTTCGTCATGTATGTCATAAATGGCATTATAAATTAGCCAAAAGTTTTATTGTTTGTCTTGATTCAAATGATTATGTACAAATACGTAATGTATTACAAGTCTTGACTGTTCTTTTGCCTATATATCCAAAAATGACAACATTTTATGGTGCACTTGAACGACGTATTAAAGCTATATGTGTAGCTGAAAAAGATCGTCGTCATGATTTGTTTGCATTAGCTAAATGTTATAGCGGTCGTTTAGCACATAAACATCGTGATATGATTGAAGAAAGTCTATTTCATTCTGTTTCGGAACGGCCAACACCATCATCAACAAGTAATAATAATAATACTAATAATATTGCTGGTACGAAAATGAATTCTATTGTTACACCGACAATCGGTGATACAAATAATGTTAATCATCATCCTATTTTATCAGATACACAATCAACATCATCGCCAACCACTCGTTCAATACAAAAAGATTCATCGAATAGTAGTAGTACAACAGGTAAAATATCAATGAAAATCTTTTTTTCACAAAAAACAAATTTAATTATTCGTTATATTTTTTTTTAAGCACGACCAACGAGTGAGAAATCCACGAATATTTCAACAACAAACAATGGATCGACAACAGCACCAAAATCAGATTCACCAGCACCATCATCTCAACCAACTACAACAACATCTCGATCAACAACAATAACTAATACTGGTATGATGCAATATTGCCATCGCTGTCCATCCAAGTCGGCTCTCATTCTCTATATATACGTGTAGAACGATCAACAAACAAAGTGAAAACGGAACCTACGATCACGAGCAGCAGCAGTAGTGGTAGTAGTACGACTGCAACGAATCCATCGACAAAATCGAATCGAATACCACATGGTCCACCGTTGCCTTCATCGACGACATCGTCTAAAACTTCGGTGACATCGACGACACAGAATAAAACTGAACCGATTGAATCATCGACATTGACGACTGGACGTACAATTAAATTGTCGAATAATGCAAATGATCGTCATGAGTCACCACAAACATCGATTGTATCAACAGCACGTGAAAGTCCGCCAACAAATAAAAAAGATACATCGACAACGGTCGATAGGTAAATATGTATGAAAAAAAAAACACAGAAGAACTAAATCTTTTTATTTTAAAGGCGGTCTACGTCATTAACGGCGGAACAACAAGTATCGTCAAGTAAAACGTCCGCATCACCTGTTTCACGTTCTACTTCGACACGCACTGTTACATCATCTACACGTAATACTTCCTCTGCTGCTATCAATAATGATGATCTGAGTCGAAGGTAAATGAAACTTTTTGTTTTTGTTATATATTCATTTTAAATTATTATTATTATATCTTTTTTTAGATCGGATCAAATGGCAGCAAATGGAATGACTAATACCTCATCTTCTACATCATCGAAAACTGTACGAACCGAGTCACCTCATGATCCTGGTCTTGACTTTTTATTTAGTTTTTATATCTTATTAGAATTAGTTTGTTTTTTTTTCTATTTATTTTTAGTACCAGAAAAACGACTACGTGGTAGTTCTTCAAAGGTAAAATTATGATAAAACAACAGAAAATGTTTTTTGAATCATTTTCGACAGGAGAGCAAGATAGAGACCTGTAGATTTCGCTATTCAAAAGAGAACATCGAAAATCATAAAATTCGTTCAAAAAATTTGTTTTTTTTCTATACCATGCAAAGCCGATGTCTCTAACTTATTCTGTTCTAGAGTTATAACGATTTTTCAGAGATCTCGGTTTCGTTCTAATGATCTAGGACTACTCTCCAAAAAAAGTCAAGACAAGGGTAATTCATTACGCTGAGTTAAGTGACCATATTAGTTTTTAATTTTAAAACGATCTAAAACCATTATAACAAGATTTTCGAAATACTGACTCTCCAAGATACAGCAGTAAAATTTGAGATTTCAAAAATCTTGGTATAATGGTTTACGACAATTTGAAACTGAAAACTAACATGATCACTTGACTCAGTGTAATGAATTACCCTTGTCGTAACCTCGTTAGGAGTGTCTCAAGGTCATTAATTCGAAACAGAGATTTCTTGAAAACTCTTATAACTCTCGAACAGAACAAGTTAGAGACTTCGGTTTTGTATGGTATAGAAAAAAAACAATTTTTTTTGAGCGAATCTTATGGTTTCCGATTTCCTCTTTTGGATAGTGAAATCCGCAGATCTCTATCTTACTCTCCTATCAAAAGCTATTCAAATAAAAAAAACATTGATCTGCCTTATATTTTTATCATCAATAATAAGTATTTTTTACATTACGATTGAATTGTACTTTGTCGATATTTTAATTACTCTTTCATGGGTCATGGTTTCCTATATAAATGTGTGGAACTTTTTCTTTGAGTAAAACATTGCGAATTGTTGTTTATATTCTGGCTATGGACTAATAATTTCGAAACAAAAATTTCATTAATTTTTATTTTTAGGGCGATCGTAGTAGTGCATCGCATGTGGAAGAATCACGTAATGGTGGTTCACGTAGTGTACATCGTGAACATAAACATGTATATCATAATGATTAATTTCTTGTTTTCTTTTTATTTTATTACATAATCAAACTTATCTTTTAGGAATCAAATAAACGTGCACGTTCGACAACACCTGAAAAACGATCAGCAAATGGTGGTAGTGGTAGTAGTTTATCTCGTCGATTAAATCAAACAGCTGAATCAACTTTATCAACAACACCTGTGCATCAAGATAATGAACATAGTGGATCAGGTATTGTGGATGTATCTCCGTCAAGTCTATCATCGAAAAGAATTAAAACAAGTGATACAGTTTCAAATGGACGATCAACACGAAAAGTAACCTACGCAATATTATTCATATTAAGGATTATTAATATTTATAATTATTAAGGAAGCACGTGAAGATCGACATACAAGTTCATCATCTTCACATAGAGTATCATCATCATCATCAACTCGTAGTGATCGTCGAGATAAATAGTAAATAATATTGATTTTTGTTTTTTTTGATATTATGAATTTTCCTTTTTATATACTTGATTTTATTTTATTTTAGTCATACAAGCAAAGAAACCAAGTGAAAACTTTTCTCGTCCTTTCTTTTTTTTTCTCTGTCGATCTATTTTTGTTTCTCTATGTCTCTTTTGTCAATCTATCTTTTGTTTGTCGTCTTAAAAAATCAAGAAAAAACAAAAAATAAATTTATGTGTATTTGTCTGTGTGATGATCAATGGATATGAATATCTGACAAAAACAAAAAAAAAATCAACAACATTCGTTTTGCTTATTTTCTCCATTGTTCTCTCAAATCTGTACATTCTATATAACTTTGTGTACACGTGTGTATCCATATTAGAGGCACATTTTGTTTCTTCTTCTCTTCATTCAAACTAGCTTACTTTGTCATCATGCCATTATACTGGTTGACTGCACAAAAAAAAAATAATAAAGCAGAAACGCCATTATACATGCGTGTATCTAAGAAAACTATATAATTATTTTCTTTGGTTTCTTCTTATAAAACAACGGTTGAGAAATTACTAGCAAACAGAATGGAATTTCAAATTCATTGCCGCATGAACAGATAGTGATGTTCAAAAGGTTTTAACATTCTTACATACTCAAATTATGTAATGATTATTTCTATTGGTATTCTTTAAACTTCGATCATAAGTGTACATTTCAATTAAATATAATAAGTTCAGATTTAAAATAGGGATAATTTTTTCTAATTTTTATTTGTATTCATCAAAAATAGAATAATGCTTGCATTTGTATATTGCTGCATTTCCTACGAATTGGAGTGGAACGAGTAAAATCTCGATCATTTTATTCTTGAATATTCAAAGCACGCTAGAAAATAATGAGATGCATTTTTTATGAATGTAGTACGCTGTTATTAAATGATGATTCAGATGTTCGTTCTCTTGGAATTTATTATGGTACCTATAGACCGAACCATTAAAAGTGAAAGTTAAAATTTTACTTCTTTGAATTTCATGATGACGTATTCTCTTGTTTTTATATACTATAGACTGATATGGATTGATCATATATTTACTATTATAATCCTTTAGTGGTTCTCTATCAATACTGTATATCTCAGATTTTTATCTTTGTGTATGTGCATATGTCGCTCAGAACTGGTTCTTCATTACACTCATTCATTGTACTGAATGTAATATAAAGCTCAGCATGATGTGATCTGGATAATATACCATTAAGATTTGGTTTTTTGATCTTCAACGATTGAGTAAACCATATGTGATCCTGTCCTCAACTTCTTTTCACACTAAACACGGATATTCGAATATAAGGTTTTTAATCATTATTGGATAATCATTTTGTATACGATAAAGATTTTTATGGATTTTCATATATTTTAATTGAACGTATAAATCAACACTATTCTCATGACAGAATTCAAACAATGATATTCAATGAGAAAAAATATTCATCTAAATAAATCAAAACAATTCTTTAATAAACTTCATTTAATTTTTAACAAGCAAATCTTCGAAGCTATTTTCTTGTTGAATTATATTCAGTCAATAGATTCGATACAAGAAATAAAAGAGTATTCTACAATTACTTCGACAAAGACTTGGACCTTGCCATCTTTAAAAAAATATTTTCGTACAACTATTTTCATATTAAGAACAGATTTACATAAAATTTTATTATTAAGATTTTGACCAACATTTATAAATATTCGACGAAGACATTTCTTTTAATTAAACTCGGTTCTTCAACTGTTTCAACTATTAACATAATATTAGTTATCTAAGTACACGAAAAAACTGGTTAGAACCAATACAGATTGTATTTATTGATTGATCGACGATATATTCAAATAATTACTTCTACTTGACTATAACAATGATAAATACTTGAGTGACATTTAAAATTGATTGAAATTTACGTTTATGAGAAAAATAAAGTTCATTAAAAATAAAACAGTGAAATTCTAGTGAACATTTGTACTTCACACAAAATAATGTCCAACGTATTGTAAGCGAAAAAATAAGATATCGATTCGCTATTACATATGTGATATATGTTATTATCCTTCTTTCCCGTATCGTTCATGTTCTTTTGTCTTCTTTCTTATTCTCCTCTCTTTCATTGTTTATCTTTCTTATGTACTGATCTATTTTACTTAAACTGTTTTTTCCAAGTATATCTTACTTCACAAGTGAGAATATACCAAAAAGTGATCGCCTTTCCTCTCTCTCTCTTTTCCTTCCATTGGTATGATCGCTCACGTTTTCTTTCTTTTTAATAAATTTGTTATTAAATTTTTCTTTGGAAAACGAAAAGACGACTCGACGAATTCAATAGTTTGTAACACGTACATTTAGAACCATTGTTCGATGGCTCAAGGTTGTCTGAACAAGAAAGAAACAACGCATCTATGTTCAATAAGTCATACATTTGACTAATTGTTGATAAAGAGTATTTTACAAGTTTCCGCCCCATTTTTACGCAGAAAGACTCTTAAAAATGGCAGCAAAACTTACGAAACACGCTTTATGCAAGATTATTTCATTTCTTTGTAAAAATAGAAGCCAGGGCTATAATAATAATTATTTGTTGAAAAATAATGAAATGAGACAATAAAAAATAAAAGTAAATCTGTATTGTATTAATTGAACATGTGTAATTATGCATAGATTCTCCTAGGTAATTTTTATGGCAACATCGATTAGCATCGATATACATGATTGTTTGTTAGAGCAACAAATTTCTATCAATATCTATTCTGGTTTCTTTTTTGTCCCAAAGGAATATAAGATAGTATAGCATGGTCTGTTCCACATCATTTTTAATTGTCTAGAGAAATTTTCAATGAAGAAAAGTTGACCAGATCTGACAGTTTTTCAGTGATGTTTTTATCAGAGTTCTAAAAATATATTTGTCAAATTGTATACACATTTATTCTCCTGTCATGTAAGAAGATCTTTTTTTTAAGCTCATTCATGCAAAATTTCATGTAAATAGACTGTTAGTCTAGTCGTCATTCGAAAATATTTTTTTCTTGTATTGAGTTTGGATCTGAGAAGCGCGGTACAATTTCTTTGCGAATAAAAACCAGGAACGAAATTTTGAGTATATGCTCATGCTAGAGACAATCATTGATAAAATGTGCTTCATTAAGAAAATACAGCTCTGCGAAATTCAACGTAATGAAATGCTTCTGCATCATCGTTGTTCTGTCGTTATCTTTTAATGTACACATTTCTAAAGAAGCACTTGTGTTTAATGGATTCTTTTCCTTTAGAAAGCGACTAACCGACAAGGCCCTTGGTTCCATCTTGGATACGCGTTACGTGGAGAGCAGTACGCGCATGCTTTTGTGCCATTATGATGATTTACCTACATCGACTTAGTTCAGTGTCTGTTGTGGAAATTGACTGTTAGAACCCTTATTGATTGGATGCATCTATTGCAACGGTAACACGTTGAATTGTCGATATTGCGCATAGAGAGAACGAAAAAACAAGACAAAACCCGTCGATCCTCGGAAAAACACGAATGGAAGCTTCTATAATGGTGACGACAAGATAGGATCGTTTCACAGAACAATTGCCTATAAAGACAAAGGCTTTCATACATCCTCTTTGAAGTTTCTTTTCTCGGATCCTCATCAAACGATTAAGTCAAGGCTCTGAACTTATTTTTCCAAAAATCCTCGTTTGATCTCCAATTGCTTCTGTTGAGTTCACTTGCCATGAAGATGCACATGTTGAACCAAGGTGATCATAGTCTCCTTTATTCTAACGAGAGAATATCGACAGATGTCAAACGACTTTCGGACCGAGATTGTGTCCAGTTGATACACTAGAGTGTCCGAAATAGATTGATTTATAAATATTTATAAATTCCAACCTTATGTGGTTGATGTTCCAGCGAAAAAGGCATTTATAATATGTAGTGAGAGGCAAAAAGCAACATGATTTTGTGCAGTTTACTCTGACACAACTGTTACATCACCGTGATTTCATATATAATTATAACAATCAAAGTATCTCATACACGAAAGTATTCAAGAATTTGAAATCCAATACAACTTTTGCTCTACTCATTGGCTCCTATTTACACTGAATGTTTTGTCAAGCAATCCTTCAGAAACACTTGATAATGTGTGGAAGATCTTAAATTGAAGGCTTTCGTATATTCACATTGTGACACTACGCAGCAAAACATGTAGTGCACCCAGTTCAAAATGCACTTCGCGTGGATTTAGTGTGATTGAGTACTCATATGTTGACACACGTTGATCTACTCGACGGTCAGTAGCAGTTAGTTGATGTCGGAACTACGAAATAAATGTTTACAGTTTCTTCTAAACGATAAAAAAACGAAAAAGTTCGCCTTGCATAGGTCTAAAGAGGAAAGACTTTTCGATCGAACACCCATACTGGAGGTGTAAATTCAATGAAGAGTGAATGTTCACTTGAATGGTCGACTGCTCCCAAATCTCATTTAGATATGCTCTAATTACAATCTCAAACTATGATACTATACATAGTTGTGTTTTAGATGCAATGATTATACGATGAGACAGATGAATTCATGCGATTTATGCAATGTTTTCTTCATCTTTTTCCATTGTATCGAACTCAAAGCAGAAGATACTTCCAGAAGCATTTTTTACTATCAACTACATCTTTATCATATTCATGTCCCTGATTGATATTCTGTTTGGAGTATTGATGTTCGCTACAATATTAACGAATAATCAAGCTCCTGGTGTTACAAATCTTCTAGCATGTAATACGTGTTCGGTCATTATGCTCTATTCATTACATCTTATTTGGAGTTCAATTTGTGCATTCAATGAAGATTGACGGTCAGAAGTTGCATGTGTCTTTCGTGGGTATTTGATAGCATTTTTTGCAACGGCCATTTGCTACTCGTATTCCATTCAACTAATCAGTCGAGTCGTCTTTGTAGTTTTCTATAAACATAAAGTCTTACACACTTTTCGTGTTCATATAAGCTTAATCATTGTGAACTGGACTATCAGTGCTCTTTTATGTATCGTACCTTTATTTTTCAATGATTACATTTAAGAAAC